AAAAAAAGTACTAACTAGCAAATGTTTTTTGTTAGCTCGCAATTTTCTTCAAAACTACTTCAATGAGGAAAAAAATAAAAATTTGGAATATCTATACATGAGCGGCTAATTGATCGGATCTCAAAATTTCGTTTATTTTGCGTGACTTATCAGGGAAAGACAATGAATCCTTCAATTTTCCAAGTGTTACGATATTTTATTCATTTAATATCATTTTAGGGTATTTAATATCGTTTAGGGTATTTCCATTCCAAAATAAATAGTGAATCCTTCGAATTTCTATTTTTATGGTATTTTATTAATTTAATATCATTTTGTACATTCATCCTCGAGTTTAGAACATCTCTCCCCAATTTTCCAACTCAAAAAAACTGGGAGACTCCCCGAATTATCAATTCCTAATACTAAAACTCAAATTATCCAAGTAATTCTATTAATTTAATTCAACAAAACACCCAATAATTTAATTAAAAAATTCATCAACACATGCTTGCTCCCCTCATCACTCCTCCAACCCTCGAAATTCCCTCTTCATTCATTCTGTGAAATGGGTGAGCCTCGATCTCGCTTGCTCCCCTTTCCCTTCCCCTTGGACTTGCCCTCCCTCTTCCTCGTCAACGACGAATTGGAAGTTGTGGAGGCAGAGTCAGCAGGACTAGACTGATTGGAGCCATCCCTGTCCCACCTGGAGAGAGCGTCCCTCAAGTGTTGTCCATCGGCCTCGTCATAAGCATCAACATCCACCTGGAGTCCTCCCTCATTCAACTCCAAATTGGCCCTCATCTCCTTCCTCTGGTCGTCAGTGTGTTGAGGACACCTCATGGATCTCGTGCACAGCTTCTTCGTGTGCTCAGAGATAACTCCGCATATCTGTGTCAACAGGGCTCTCTTATCCTCAATTGACATGTTCTCGTAGTTCGATGGTGAATTCTCGTTACTCGTCTGCATCTCTGGGGTGTCGCCATTCCTCTGCGTCTTCTGGGTTTTGCTCCTCTTGATACCATTCCTGTCTTTTCTCCTCTTTCTCTTGTCATTGTTGACACTCCAGTCTGCGTCGTCCTCGTCATCGCTTATGACTCCACTGAAGTTGCTCAGGTCTTTCGAACTATTCGCTATTCTTCGCGATGCTATTCTAGAGCTGTTTCTACCCATTCCCATGCATTTCTCCAGGTGGGTGGCGAAACGACAGGCTGCCACACCTCGATCACAATTTGGACAGTTGCATTCCTGGGATTTCTTTATTGGGTGCTGACCGAAGACGTCCAGACCTGGAGAGTCTAAAAAAATGAGATTTTCAGTTAATGCATTAATTCTTGCAGGTGAAGGAAAATTTACTTTATTAAATTATCGATATCTCCGGGCTCAATGAAACGATTTCAATTAATTTGGGGCCATTTTCGAGGTTGAAAAAATACCTTTAAAATAAAAAATAAATCTCGGAATTTCACTCAGCCAATCTCAAGATATGCCTAATTTAAAAGAGTCACTTTCATCTTTTTCCAGAAGATGACGTAAAATGAGTTATTTTACAAAATCAACAATATTCCCCGAACGAATGATGCGATTCGGATAAATCAGGGCTCATTTCAAAGCTTTGAAAAATACCTTCAAAACTGAAGAAAAAATTTGAATTTCACTCAGCCAATCTCCAGTTACTAGCGACTAAATACCTCAACTTCATTTGTTAACAAAAATCAATTGAATTTCACTGACTACCTTACCAACAATAGCATAAGACTCATCGTCAGGTATTCCCTCCTCCACATCAGAGCTTCCAGTCTTGATAGTTCTATGGACATCAAAAACAAAGCCCATGAGCACCTCATCCAAGAGATCGTCATAAATCTCCTGAGATGCCATGTCAACATTATCCGATGTTCTCATGAACTCCAGGAAGCTCCTATCAAGCTCCTGGATCCTCTCCTCTGTCACCGACATCTTTCGTGCAAAATTCTTCTCCAAGCAACACACACATGTGCCTCTCGTATTCACGATTGCTTCGTAATGGAAACAATTTATTCAGGAATTGTATCCTTTTGTTTTATTTAATCACCCTGGCCCACTGTCGAGGGTTCACTGCTGGCCTGACAGCATCTTTGTTCAGGTATTTCCACAGGATTTCTACAGATAATCTCCAGTGATTTCGTGTCTACTCTGTTTATTGTTCGTTGGCAATTGTTAAGCAGACTTTTTCTCTTTGATCTCGTGACTTTTGGGGTTTTATTTACGAAGTTTTTTCTTCTGTCAAAAATCCTGTGTTTATTGCAGGTGGCAGATTCGCACAATTAATTCAATCGTAAACTATAAACATTGTAGAGATGGGAAAAGTATTTTTAGATTATGTTATCACTGAATTGTTGACTTATCGACAGAGTAGGGGCATATGGCGGCATTTTCTCGAGTAAAATTAAATCTCAATGCTTTTTTTAACTGACTAAATCATAAAAATACGGATCAATTGCTTTTGGAGTGTCAACCGACTTTAAATAAAATTTTTTCAATTTTTCAATTCGTTAATTTTTATTATTAATGTTATTTTTTTTTTTATACACACTTTATCGCTTTTTGTCCTCCGGCAATGCTTGGGGTCACGCGGTGGTCCCTTGGCGCTCATACCATCCAGTTAAGTCATAAAATCATGCTGAAATGATTTGAAATAATAGAATTTCAGTTGACAACATTAAAAACTCAGAATTACGAAACAATTGGACTCGATTGAAGTGAATAGTTCGCAGTTAAGCAGGTGGATGCCATTGTTGGAGGTTAAGTTTTACGGTTGTTGAGGTTATCTCATTATTATCGCAGAATAATTCAACAATATCAGTTAATGAAATGTCGACGAATATGAGAAGTGTTTTGAAAGTGTCGATAGCTCTCAGAAATTTATGCTCGACGTCTAATCGGGCCCTGTCACTGAGATTATTACACTCGTCCTCGGGTCTCGAGGCGAGGTTCAATCGGCGTAAGTATCTTCATACAATTAAAAAAACGTAAAAACGATTATTTAAATACGAAACTGAAAACAATTGAATAACAGTTATTTAGAGAGAGTAATCCTTCGTTTTATCTATTTTCATATTCACCTGTTGCTCAAATTTTTCCATCTCCTGCTAGTATTTTACATTTGAGTTCATTATTTCAGGAGCGAAGCGGTAAAACTAAGTCGATTTAGCTTTCAGGTGAGTTTTTAAGGAATATCTCCGAATCTGAAGAAGATAGCAAAATTTTCGTCATGATCTTTTTTGTAGAGCGAATTGAGGGCTACAAAAAAGGTTCTAACAAAAATTTCGCTATCTGCCTTCGATTCCGAGATATCCACGGAAAACTCGACTTGAACCCGAGTTGAAAAATTTGACATTCATGACGAATATCTTCGAAACTAAAGGAGATATCGAAATTTTCGTCATTACCTTTTTTGTAGCCCTCGCTTCGCTCTACAAAAAAGGTCATGACGAAAATTTCAATATCTGCCTTAGATCCCGAGATATTCATTGAAAACTAGCCAATAGTCAAAATCAACTTGAATTGTTTCATCGTTTCCTTACTGATTTTATTTCCACTAAAAAAATTTAATGTCCATGATGATTACCTCACAAACAACAACATTCTTTGATCAAGAAATTGTAAGAATGACTAAAAGTGATAGCAATTCACCTGGTTTCGTCTATGCACCACTCAACTGCAATAAATCATCGAATTATCATCGCGATATCATCCCCATATTTTCCTTCCAAAGCTGTGCTAGCCTCGGATCCGGGCCGATTCCAAAGAGCCCTCGACGATATAGAACAGCCCGAACACCCGAGAACAATTGCCCAACAATTACGGGACTGTCAGCTCCCCGAGGAGGTCCTCCTCCTGATAAACAAAGAGTCCTCCCGGCTGACGGGTCACCAGGCCCTGAAATTCCTGGCGAGCCTCTTCGGAATGGCCAAGAAGAGCCCAAGCGAAGCCCTCGCCGACCAGATCCGCCAAAAGAAGGAATTTGCAACTCTCTGCGATATCCTGAAAAAGCACATTCGCCAGCTCACCCCAACGCAGGCGATAGAAGCCCTGAAACACCTCATCTACTTCCACGTCCCCTCCACCACAGTAATCATAAACATGCTGCTGCAGATGGTGAGAACCTCTGTCAATCAGCTCTCCCTCGACGAGCTAGTTTTCCTCAGTTTTCTCCTGAAGAAATGCCAGACGACACCTCTCATCGAGGCACTGGGTATCGCTCTACCGATGATCTTCGAGACCCAGGTGATGACCCAACTGGACCGGGAGAACCTAGAGTCCCTCGTCAGGATCCTCCAGTACCTGAGGCAATCAGGAATGTCCAGCGAGGCAGTCCCCAGAATTCTAAACATAATCGAGAAAACTCCCCCTGAAAAAATCACTCCAGCCCAAGCAAAGCAGATCCTCTTCTGCCTCCTGGACTGGGATTTTAACGAAACGGTGAAGCTCCTGATCCCCAGGATGATGGAGATCCTCGCCGAGGGAATGGAGGAGGTGAACCCAGCGGAATTGCACGCCTTGTTGCGAAGGATAAGCAAGAATTTCAGCGAAGCCAAGACAGACCACGAGGTCTACTATCACGATGGCTTTGCTGACGCCTGTGGGGCGGCCGTTGTCTCCAGGAATCTAGGGTTCGAGCGAGCCCTGGAGGTCGCCGATTTTTATCACGTCGTGGAGCACGTCAACATCGCCCTGCTAGACTACATGGCTGCCAAGTGCTTCGAGGACAAGAGCATCCTCACCAATGCCAATAAATATCAGATCTCTTCGTTTCTGCACTCCCTGTCCCGAGCCGACTACAAACCAGTCTTCTGGGATTCAGTTAAGGAGTCGTTGATGAGTGAGAAACTGCTGGACCAAAACGTAGGGTGGCTGCTGAAACCGGCTCTGTGGATGGCATCCCTCGACTGCTACTGGCCAAAGCTCATCGCCAAGATCTTCACGGAATTCGAAATTAGGGGTGAGAGGTATACATCTGCCATGAAGAGAATTCTGCTGCTGTATCACACGGTCAAGAGTAGCTGTCCTGAGTACCAGGGGCCCTGGATTGCCGACAACGTTCTGAGGTACTGCGAGAAGGTGCCCGTTGTGGAGAAGACGGAGTATCCACTGCGGGAGGCCATCCAGTGCGCTCTTGGGGGGCCGCAGTATGTCCTGACCAGTTTGGGGACCAAGTTTGGGTATTATGTTGGTGAGATGGGGTTTGTGTTGGGGGGATTACGGGGCTGAATGTTACGGAATCATTATATGTGGACGTCCACATGAAATGGGACCACTTTGTCGATTCTACACTGAGAAAAAAAAATTTTAATTCTGTCTGAAATATATTTTCTTGAGAGAAGTAATAGTTTATTTCGTTACGAGTGCGGAAAAGAGTTTTTTTGCTCGTGGGAGGCTTATGGCACGAGCCCAAGGCGAGTGATATAATCCCACGAGCTAAAAAACACCTTTCCCACGAGTATCGAACGATATTTTTCATCATAATGTGTGCCCAGCAAACAGTATGTCGACAATTTGTCGACAAATTGCCGATGTCCTGTTAAATTTTAGACGGCACTGGCAAAAATTGTTTTCTGGGTGGTAAAGGGACTTTTAGGCACGCGAAGCATGCGTCATGAATATTTTTCATATTGCAATATTGGAAGTGCATAACGAAAAAATCATGAAAACAATAAAGACTAGAAGATTGACGATTCCTCTACGCGATTTAGGTAAGTTCATTTGCGATAAAATCATACTTGAGTACGAGAATATTTTAAAGCATGAGGCCTTCCTCGGGTCATGTGAGTTGAGATGCCTGAGAGAATTGAGCAATTGAAGAAAATTTACTTGTCTCAAGAAACTGTGTTTCAGATATTAAAAATTTTTTTCTCAGTGTAGTTTCCGAGATATTCACGTTTTTGCACCAATGTTAAATTGTTTTTTTCCATCTTCTCCATCGACGTCATTTTTGACCCCATGAAGATCATTTTGGACTCAAAATGTGCGGAATGTTATCGATATTATCAGAGTATACATAACACCATATCGACAAAGTGGTCCCTTTTCATGTGGACGTCCACATATTACGGTGAAAAATATTACGCAGTAATATTGGGGAAGAAAATGTTACAGACAAAATTATTAGCGCAGCACCTCTGAAAAACTTTGTTAAAAAAAACTTGTTAAACTCAATTTGGGAAAGTCAACTTTTGAGTACTTTAACTTTTGTCAAATTCAACTTCCGTCAATAAAACCTTTCGGTTTCGGTTTTTTGTAAGAATATCGGTAAAATCTGCGTTCGTGTTTGGAATTTCAGAGTGTTTATCCGTTTTGTTTGGTTTTTTGGGAAAGGACCAAACAATCGTTATCGTTTACATTTAAGTTTGCAAATTTAATTATTATTTTGCAAATTTAAGTATTATTTTCATCGTTATATTATTTACTGTAATATTTCGGTTTAATATTTTTCACGGCAATATTTAGACCGGACACCGGTTGTAAGAGGGATGAGAGGTTTATGCTGGCTTTCATTCGGCGTTTCTTCCAGATCATGTCGCGATTATGAGGAAGGGATGGTTTCCAATTGCTGTTAATACTTCTGGGGAGACTGTCATTAACAAGCTAGAGGATTTGAAACCTTTGCAAGACGGTCAAATGTGAGTATTTGTTTTAATATTGTTAATTATCAGATTTTGGAAAATTATTATTTCTGGAGAAGCAAGAAATCTCATTTAGTTCTCTCGTTCAATCATTGTTTGGTTCATTTTTTTTCTAATCAACTTTTCGTCAAATCGTTTGAAAAAATGCATCCACTTAAATTGAATGTCATTACTAAATTACATATTGTGAATTTTTAATGTATTATCACAACAATAATGAAGACAGAAATATCCCGTCATAATGAAGACAGAAAATTTTTTCTTCCATTCTTTTCAGCCTGATATTCTTGACCATCCCTGGCTATGGACATATCCGTAACACAGATCGCCTGACTGGCTACTGGTCATTGTTAATGAAACAAATTGAGGCAGAAGAAAGGCACACAGTGATTCCCATTTTTTCAAGAACGTGGAAAAAACTTTCAGAACCCGAAAGAATTCGCTACATCTCGCAAGCGATTAGACTCAAGTGTGACGAACTCTCTGCAGTTGTCAACTGAAACGACGAAGCAATTTAGAATTGAATGTATGTATTACCCGAGAATAAACTGCTGTTTATTACAACATCTTTGGAAGAATCAATTAAGAGCCATTTTATTGCTTAACATTTTTATTATACGAAAATAGTTATTCTCAACAATAAAATTACGTTATCATCACCTCCAGACAGCAATAACTTGGAGATTAAAAAAAATTCAATGAGTATTCTCAAGCACGAGGAGTCCCTCCTCAACTCTAAACTAAAGTCTAACGTAAAATAAAATCTCCAGACTTTTTCACATAAAAGTAATAATGAAAATCGTAAAAATCGTTCGGCGTTCGATCGAAAGACCCCCCAGCAGCTGCCTGGTAGGAGCACCATCTCAAAATCAGCACCACACTGAGCAAAAGCCACTGCCATCGGCAAATCCAATCCTCTTGAAGCAATTACCCCCGTTACGAGTCTCAAACAAATCATTGGCTCAATCCAAAGACCTTGAGTGCATTGAATGCAGTGGCGAGAGTGACTTCCTCCGGTGATTTCCTCATGAAAGCACAGCGTGAGTTCCATTCACTCAAGAATATGGAATGTGAACCACCCAAGAATAAACTGCTGTTTATTCCAACGTCTTTGGAAGAATCAATTAAGAGCCATTTTATTGCTTAACATTTTTATTATACGAAAATAGTTATTCTCAACAATAAAATTACGTTATCATCACCTCCAGACAGCAATAACTTGGAGATTAAAAAAAATTCAATGAGTATTCTCAAGCACGAGGAGTCCCTCCTCAACTCTAAACTAAAGTCTAACGTAAAATAAAATCTCCAGACTTTTTCACATAAAAGTAATAATGAAAATCGTAAAAATCGTTCGGCGTTCGATCGAAAGACCCCCCAGCAGCTGCCTGGTAGGAGCACCATCTCAAAATCAGCACCACACTGAGCAAAAGCCACTGCCATCGGCAAATCCAATCCTCTTGAAGCAATTACCCCCGTTACGAGTCTCAAACAAATCATTGGCTCAATCCAAAGACCTTGAGTGCATTGAATGCAGTGGCGAGAGCGACTTCCTCCGGTGATTTCCTCATGAAAGCAGCCACCATCTCGACAACAGCAGGCAGTGCACACGGCTCATTCCTCTGGAACGTGCAGTACCGATGCAAAAATGTCATGGATCGCTCGGTGAGGCCGTCCTTGACGTGAACCGGAAGTTTACTGGCCCTCGTGTTGGGATACATGAATGGGGCGTCAGTCTCCACCAGAATTTTATCCAGAGATATGCTGCCACCCTCGAGGATCTGCCTCACTCCACTGTCTGACTTGTCCTTGCAGAGGTACCCAGTGATCCCCAGGTAGAAGCCCTCGTCGAGGTACAGTCGCGCCTCATCGGCACTCCCAATGAACGAGTGAATCATCACTGGAGGGAGACGATTTTTGTAATGGGACAGCACCTCGAGGACATCCTTCTGCGCTCCTCTCTCATGAATCACCAGGGGTTTGTTCAGCCTGCAGGCTAGCTCTATCTGCTTGTGAAAGACTGATCTCTGGGTCTCGGGGTCTGAAAAGTCTCGGTTGTAATCCAGTCCGCACTCGCCTATCGCCACGCACTCAGGGTTATTCGCTATGCTCTCCAGCTCCTCCAGGGTCTCGCCGTCCTCCCAGGATTTCGCGTCGTGGGGGTGCACTCCAGCTGTTGAGTAGAGGGTCCCTGGGTAGATCCTGGTGAGTCGGAGGGCTTCTTTACTCGATCTTATGCTCGCCCCTGTCACCATTATCTTCTGGACTCCAGAGTCCTTCGCTCGTTGGATCACAGAGTCCAGGTCGCGGCTGTATTTCTTGTTTGTCAGGTTCGCACCCACGTCTATCAGAATGTAGTTCTCGTAGCACTGACGCATAGGGCAGACCTCGGAGGCTGTGGTGGTGGAACTACTCGCGTTTTCAGACATTGCGGGGAGATTTATTCAGTTATTGTTCCCTGAAATCGAGAGGAAATTGGGGTTTTGAGAATCTACAGTAGATTGGATTTGATTAGATGTATATGTGGCTGGTCAATATTTTGCTCAGAGTCACCTAAATCATATGATCTTTTGTAACATCCGCCTTTATTTATTCTGTCCATCAGACCCAGCCCTGCACCTTTTACTAGGCTAATGAGGCTGGCTACTACTTCTGGTTCCAATCTACATTAGGAAATAATAACTTTTTGGAAGAACCAGATCTATCAGCTGTGGTCATTAATTTTAGATGAGTTTTTAGTGAAAAGGGCCATTACTCTTCAATAAAAAATGAATTTGGTTTCAATCAACGTAAAAATAGAATATTCTTTGAAGAAATTCAATCTGCCAACCCTTGAAAATTAATTATCACACCGAATATTTTTTCTCTGTTAGGAAATCTAGATTAGAATTATGTCAATACCAGGAAAAATGACAAAAACCAAAGCCAAAGACAACCCAATTAAATCCAACACTTAACATCAATAAAAACCTATTTCATTTTATTCTAAAAAAAATTGTGATAATTATTTTTCCTGAAATCGAGAGGAAAATTACTGCGGGGCTTATCATTTTGACTATCTACATTTCGAAATAACAACCCTTTTGGAGCAGCCAGAACTATCAGCTGTGGTAATTAATTTCAAAAGATGTTTTAGTGAAAAGAGATATTGTTCTTGAATAAAAAATGAATTGATTTATTATATTTGCTGGCAACATGGATTTTATGGTGAAAAAAATTGAGTATTCTTTGAAAAAATCCAATCTGCGAACTCTTGAAAATTAATTATCACACCGAATATTTTTTCTCTGTTAGGAAATCTAGATTAGAATTATGTCAATACCAGGAAAAATGACAAAAACCAAAGCCAAAGACAACCCAATTAAATCCAACACTTGACATCAATAAAAACCTATTTCATTTTATTCTAAAAAAAATTGTGATAATTATTTTTCCTGAAATCGAGAGGAAAATTACTGCGGGGCTTATCATTTTGACTATCTACATTCCGAAATAACAACCTTTTTGGAGCAGCCAGAACTATCAGCTGTGGTAATTAATTTCAAAAGATGTTTTAGTGAAAAGAGATATTGTTCTTGAATAAAAAATGAATTGATTTATTATATTTGCTGGCAACATGGATTTTATGGTGAAAAAAATTGAGTATTCTTTGAAAAAATCCAATCTGCGAACTCTTGAAAATTAATTATCACACCGAATATTTTTTCTCTGTTAGGAAATCTAGATTAGAATTATGTCAATACCAGGAAAAATGACAAAAACCAAAGCCAAAGACAACCCAATTAAATCCAACACTTGACATCAATAAAAACCTATTTCATTTTATTCTAAAAAAAATTGTGATAATTATTTTTCCTGAAATCGAGAGGAAAATTACTGCGGGGCTTATCATTTTGACTATCTACATTCCGAAATAACAACCTTTTTGGAGCAGCCAGAACTATCAGCTGTGGTAATTAATTTCAAAAGATGTTTTAGTGAAAAGAGATATTGTTCTTGAATAAAAAATGAATTGATTTATTATATTTGCTGGCAACATGGATTTTATGGTGAAAAAAATTGAGTATTCTTTGAAAAAATCCAATCTGCGAGCCCTTAAAAATTAATTATCACACCGAATATTTTTTCTTCACTAGCAAATCTAGATTATAAAACCAAAACCAAAGAAAATCCAATAAAATCCCCCCCATCATTAATAAAAAACTACTCCATTTGATTCTAAAAAAAAATCAGTGACAAATAGTTTACGATTTCGGGGTTCAAGCAGGGAAATTCTGGGGGTTTAACCTCTCGAGGTGCATCCAAGGGTTGAAATTCCCCCAAATACCCTCGCTCCAACTATTTTTTAATAATCACTGTACTCTATGAATCCACTTACTTGACATTTGAGGAATCGACAGCAGGGCGAGTCTCTCCACCGTCTGAGTTGGAGGGTAATTCGTGGATGAATGAAATCGTTGAGCTTTTTCACGATGACTTAACCTCCCAATAAAGTAGTCCGGGCGTGTGAGTCATATTTTTCAAATTGCATAACCTTCAGAGAGAGTTCAACCGGCTGAGACCGAGTTTTCTCCTCGAATTGTCCATAAACAAAGTTCGTTCGAAGGACTTGTCCTCTCCCAAGGTGCAATTAATTCCGAATCAGTCATCATGAAGGTAATTGACGAATTAAAATCGACGATCTCGTCCCCTCAAGTGTCTTCTCCCCAACAATGGCTCATTTTTTTCACTTTATCAGAATAAAAAAGGGCATAAAACCAGGAAACAATTACTAGCCGAGAAGGAAGCAGCGTCTAAGCGTCTGGTGGACAAGGCGAATGCTCAGGAAAATCCTCTGGAGACTCTGGAAAAATTCCAGAGTTACTCCGCACCTGATGGAACAGTTTTCAATCTTCAATGTTCGAGGGTGGCAGATCTTCCTGGGGAAACTCTCCCCTGGGTTTTCGACATTATGGAGAGGAACATGAAGTCGATGTATGAGAAGTCGAAGTGGGGGTGGAACGAGAGCTCCAAGAGGAACGAATTGACAGAACCCGGCGCCTGGTACCTCACAGCCAGAGTTGGGGACGAGCTCGTGGCCTTTTCACACTTTCGTTATGATCTCGATGACAAAATCGAGGTTCTCTATTGGTAAATTCATGTTTTGACGATGGGGAATAATTACTTGAGGGTTTTTCGTGTCAATTTGTTGATGGGAAATTGTTTTTTTCAAGTTATGAACTTCAGTTGGAGGAGAAAGTGAGGAGAAAAGGCTTGGGGAGGTTCATGATGAAGTGTTTGGAGGGTCTGGCTGCTGAGAGTTGCATGAAGAAAGTAGTTTTGACGGTTTTCAAACACAACGCTGAAGCCAGATCGTTTTACGAGGCTTTAGGGTAAATTGGAGAGGATTTTTGATTTTAGGAAATTGGATTGGATGGAGGAATATTGAAGGATTGATTGCATTTTCAGGTACAAGTTGGATAGGACGAGCCCTGCTGACTGGGAGAGTCTGGACTACATAATCATCAGCAAATAAATTTTTTCTGTATTCCGTTTTTAATTTTTTTTTACTGCAAAAAGGGGAGTAAATAAATCCAGGACTGATTTTTCTATTTTTTCGTTATTTTCGTTCGTTTGATTTATTACGACAGTTAATTATCAAGTTGTAAAGCATTTTATTTACAAATTAGGAATACTGAAATTAGACATTCAATTGGAGGAAGAAAAGAATGGGCAGCTTTAGGGTAAATTGAAGAGGATTTTTGATTCTAGCAAATTGGATTGGATTGGGGAATTGAAGAATTGATTGTTTCTCCATTTTTAATTTTTTTACTACGAAAAAGGGAGTGAATAAATTCAGGACTGATTATTCTAATGCAATGAGTGGAGAAATTCTGATCATTTCGTTTTTATTATTTTTGTTCTTTTGATTTATTACGAAACTCAATTATCAAGTTGGAAAGCTTGACAAATCCCTCAATCTTTTTCAATGTCTCGAGAACATAATTTCCTAATTAGAAATACTGAAGTTATTAACTTCAATTGAAGGAGGAGAAGATGGAAGAGTCTAAACTACATAATCATCATCAGCAAATGAATTTTTTTTGCCTTCCATTTTCAATTTTTTTACTACAAAAAAGGGAGTGAATAAATCCAGGACTGATTTTTATAATGAAATGAGTGAAAAAGTCTAATCATTTGGTTCTTCATTATTTTCATTCTTTTGATTTATTACGAAAGTCAATTATCAAGTTGTCATTATACATGATTCATGTCAATTGAACATTCCTCAGAAACATTACAAGCAGTTAATATCCCCCGCCACTGGCGAGCTTGAAAAACCCCTCGATTTCTTCCAACACATCGAAAACATTAGTCCCAAATGAGAAATTAGTCGAGCCCTCCTGTTGCAGCATTGCTCCACAGAATCACGGATCACTCTGAGAATAATTGCTCTATCACTTGCTTCCAGCACTCAAGCTACAAAATACTCTCCAACTCTCTTACAATTACGCAAAACAATAAATTAATACTGCCATCAGTTACATTTAAACCGCATACAAACAGCTTTTCGGGAATGGGAGATTCTTATCTAGACTCATTGTCTACATTATCAACTCAGTAATTAAAATATCATTCTTTTACTCGCTACGATCTACCTTCACTCATCCAGAAGGAAAAATTATTGACTCAAATTACTGAGGATCGCCCTATTCCTCTGAGAATCTGCATTCTGCGGATAATTTCCGCATAATTTGGCTCTTAAATTACAAAACCTTAAAAATTAGTTTACCATATCTGAGTATTGAATAGCCGAAACGACGAGTAAATATCATTCACACGAATTTCAACCGAAAATTGTTAAAAACAATTTATGTTCATGTTCATCTCCATACTTTAAATTTTGATGGTAAGGATCATGGAAAAAAAAATTCGACTGTGTCAGTGACATAAGACATTGTTTGTATTGTATTTTTTCAGAGCCTGAGGAAGCTAAAATAATTATCGAAACATTGCATCCTTGACGATTTAATCGGCGCGGTTATTTATTTCTCCAATTTCCCATGATCCTTACCGTCAAAATTTTTAAAAACGTAATCTCCCCTTCTACGTTCACCAAAAAATAGTCGAGCCCCCGGTGATCCTCGTCACGCAAATATTCCCATCAGATTCCCCCCTCAATCCCCCTGAGTCCCCAATCTCCCCCCGGATCCCCTATAAAACCCCCCACTAGACCTAAGACTGTGTTTTATGAAACAATATCGATGATATCTGATGCGGACAGAGGCTGACGCTAGTCGTCTTGAGAGTCGGTCCGACACTGTGGAAAGTCAGTGGTATTTCACTGATGGTCCAGTCCTCGACGAAGCTCAACAGTCTCCCGACGTCGATCGTCCCACTGTCGAGGGCCCCAAACCGTTCGTGAATGTCCTCCTCCCCCCAGCAGAGATCCACCGCCTGCCTGTGGATCACCATCCCGACCCCCTTTCCCGCACCGTCAGGCACGGAGATCACCCGCATGCTGACGATGTTGACGTCCACGGGGAGATCGAACCTCAGCGCAGCGAAGTGTCCATTGAAGTCGACATTGAACACTGGATTTGGGTGGATGGTGGTCATGGGATGGAGCAGCTCCTCCGCGGCCAGATGGGCTCCAAGAGAGAGAGCCCCTGCGGGATGCCCAGGCGCCGGTGGCTTCAGGCACTCCCTCCTCTTCTCCAACACGATCATGAAGACGTGATTAGTCAGAAGATTGTCGGTGACCCCTTGCTCGAGGCCCCTCTGGTCGTCCTGCATCAGTCGCCTGTCCTGCATGATCTCGAATTGTCCAGAGGCCATGGAGGCAGCGCCCAGTGGCTGTCCCGTCAGGACACTCAGCCTCACCCTCTTGTCCTCGATGTACCCAGCTGCCGGAAGGGGGTAGTAATTCGCCTGGGTCGGCAGCTTCGGAAACCTCTGCCTCCTGATCATGTTGAGACCGTTGAGATCAGTGAAGAACTCGTCTCCCGACGCTATATCAGTGTCCAGTCTCATCGCCAACTCGAAGTTCTGGGTCTCTGAGATGTCAACTTCGTTGAGCACGTGCAGCCCCAGCCCATCGCTGCCAGGGGAGTTGAATAAAGTACAGGTGTGCCGCAGGTGCGGAAGGTCCACGAAGACTCGAGATAAAATGGGACCAGTGACCAAGTGGATTGTCCTGTCCATCGTCATGTAGACGGGATCAGGGTCCGGTTTGTCGGGGAGAAACAGGTAGGCTCCACTCTGAGGCCTCCCTGGGGACGCTGTCCCGTATTTAACGAACTCCAGGTGCACTGGGAACGTAGTGTCAGCGATTTTCAGGGCTTTTAGTAAGCCAGTCTTTGCGAAAGCTGCGGAGAGACCCGGTCTCACGCCTATCGAGAACTCCTGCGTCGACGGATGCACCTGGAGGTGCTCGAACCCGCGGACGAGTCTCGGGGGGATCGCGTTGTTGAAGAGGGTCACGTTTGCTAGGTGAACACCGGGGGGCAACGACGTGTCCTTCAACGGGTGGATCAGGTAAGTATTGATGCCGAATCCAGGAACCGTCACCAGGAACGACAGCTCGTACCTGAAATGTCAGAGGTTACTGAGGGGTTGAGGCACAGGCTGGGAGCCTGAGGGGGAGACAGGACAGTTCATACTATCCACTTCAGCCTGGACATTTCATCCCATTCACTTGCAGACACAATCATTCAAATATTTCAATCGTTTCTCTCATGAATTATTCGTTCATTCATTCATTTTTGGACTGAATATCCTTCGATTCTCTTTGAAATGTGACGCGTTGCCCGATCGATGGCGCAAAATCATCGAAACCGATGGACGATATTTCGAGGATTGATCTAGTATTTGCATATTTTATGTCACATATTTTTTGATTTAAAAAAAGGGAAAAATTAAGTTATACACCTAATATTATTTTAATGATTTTCATTTGACGAAGAAAATCATTTGACTGTGTAGAAGCATTATTGATGATAATGCCAATAAAATGTTGGTGACAAAAACTGTGAGAAGGTCTATCTTAGCATTTTGGGGGCTGAAGTGTCTCTGAGGCCTCTTAGTTCGACAGAGTACGTTTGGGAGTCCAACTTGACAGTCGAGTCCAATAATTCTCAATCCTTAGCACCGCGTAACCCGAGCCCGTTAATAATCTTTGAAAAACGTGGAAAACCTCACATGTTACAGAATCATATCTATCCATTGCTGTTTCATAATATCTCAACCAACACGATTTTTCATATTTCATGATTGATTTCATGATGAAGAGGATTAAATGGCCCAGAATGAAAAAATTCGGGGATAAACTGTCCCTCCTCTCCGTGAGTTCGAATTTACGTGCCACCAATTTTTCATTTCACGTCCATCAGGATGGCTGATGTGTAAAAAAAATTGAATTTCATAATTTTCGTGTTTGATGAGGATAACCAATGGCATAGAAAGGACATGTGAATTTCTTCAAATTTTTCGAAGCATTTTTTAAGGTTGCGCCGTGTGGTTTTATTTCTTATGGACATTTACACGCCTCGTAGCGATCTAATGTGTCAATCATTCTTTAAAGACTCAATTATTATCTCTCGGTGTTTCCCTCTGAGAACTGTTCACAGGGGGTTTAAGAGCAGAATTATTTTTTGTCTTATTTCTTATTAAAAAAAATACATTTACCTAGCCCCGGAGATGGCTCCAGGTCCGACCCAGACTGGTGACAGTTGGCACTCGACAGCCTGTCCCATTCTATCGGTGACCCTCACGTAGGGATTCGACACAATGACCGTCTGGACCCTCGTCCTCTGTCTCGGGAGGGAATTCAATATGACAACTTTCCTGGAGATGCCGTCGTCCCCGAGGGAGACTGTTATTCTGTCCCCAACGCTCGTGTGGTGGGTCCTCATCTCGTCGAGAGTGAAGTATTGGGAGTCTGGGTCGAGGGCCGGCCCCTGGGGACTCCTCAGGAGGTGTGCCGCCGACTGCTGGAGAACGTGGGCTGAACTGTTCAGGGCTGAAATCATCTTCTGGGCGTAGTCCACCACGACTTCGTCTCTTGCGGTACCAGTGACGCCGTCGTGATGTTGGAAGAGCGAGTGCCACTGTCTGGCCTCAGCCAGTCTTCTCTCCAGACCGGATTCCGACAGGTGCTCGTGACCTCGCGCCCATCCGATCGAGGAGAGGACCTCGGCTGCCCTCAGGGACCCCAGGAGAACTCGGTCCAGGCGTTTGTGGAAGGGCCGAGAGGTGTAGTAGCCACTCCAGTAGTGATCGTCCCTGTCGGCGTACGTGAAGAAGTCCCCGGACAACCTGGGGAACTTGTCGACATTCTGCTCCTCTCTGAGGGCGTTGAAGTAATCGGTCAGAGTGCCGAATTGTATCTTCACGTTCAACTGATCGTTCGAGTTGAGGTAATCGAAGATCTTCTGGTAGTTGCCGTACTGCGCGTCCCATTCGGAACTCTGGGAGTACCTGGAGCAGAGTCGGGGGATGAATATCCGTCGTTAATTTTCCTGATAATAATGACTAATAACAAATATGAAATAGTGATTACTTCTGTAATCGATGAAAATACGAAATTCATTTTTATTGACTTTTTAATGCCCGGTGGCGCACACGTGAAAGGTTCCGAGTTCAAAACCCTGCCGGGTAGAATGGTAAGATCTAACCATTTAAAGTCTTGATCATCAGCGCAGTAGACCCCAACCGAGTCGAAGGGATGTACAATAACGATAAAAAAATGATAATTTAAAGGTTGATTTAAAAAATATGGCGCGAGCCACAATTAATTAGCATAATTATTATTCGAAATTCGTATAACGCGTCTCGAATATTCTGTATCGTTACGTTAGAGGCAAACATCGAGCTATCCTCGTCCCTCACGAAATTTCTGGACAATTCTCGAATCTACCATAACAAAAGGTATTTAAGGGGTAACAGAAGGCCTCGAAAATTTCCTCGAAATTTTCAAACAAATTTCCTGCTCAAAGTGATTAGTATTTTTTTAAACCAAAGCACATTGACCTTCATCACCTCCTGGAGATTAATATGCTTCGATTTGCAAAAATATCGATAACTTTGGGCAGGAAATTTGTTGAAAAATTTGGAAATTGGCCACATACTGTTGCTTGAGGACGACCTGTATATGAGTTTTATTATTTTATTACTATTATTATGGGTTTTATTAGTTTTTTTATTTCGCTATCGGCACTTGACCGCCACAAAAAAAATTTTTTTTGTTTTAATTGCGATTGGGTCATTACAGTTGATGAACAAGACCTGAGGACCTGCACATGGGTTTTATTATTTTATTATTATTATGGGTTTATTTTGATTATTTTTTTCTTCATTCCCATTGCACCCCAAGAGCTGTACCCCATGTACAGACTCTCCTGGTGACCAAGGGAAACCATAAAAAACCCTCCGACCGAATACCCTCGGAGAATATTCCCCAAACATTAAATCTCGATGATTTCTGGTGTCTAGACTCCCCTCCAACGGTTTCCGAAAGATTAAAAATCCCAATTGCCCCAAACCAGACTCAAATTTTATCGTTTCATTTGCCCTGGGCCACAAACGAGACTATATCTGAATAAAAAAAAAATTATTAGAACATGAAAAACAACATCACTCTGTCTGACCTGAAGTCATCGCCAAGAGGTGCGACAACGACATTGGACCTGAAGAGCTGTGCCTTCTTGCGGTACTGGTCAAGCAGCAGAGCCGCCCGTTCAGCGACATTTTTCTTAGTAACAACCTTGGGGGGGACCCTCCACGGGCAGCTCAGACCAAAATTCGGAAGCCTGAAAAAGTCAAACTGACAGCAGACCTTGGGATCGGGCCCGCAGGTGTGGGGCACGTCGTAGCTGTAGAACGGCATCATATGAGTGAGAATTTCGGTGGAGCCGTCGTGATCCCACAGCTGTCGCCACTTGAACTCGAGACTCCTCTCCTTGGCCAGTCTCTTCTTAACGGAGTAGTGAACCCGTTGAATCAGAAGATTCTCGAGGCCCGCGTTCCTCAGGAGATACGGCATGGTTGGAGAGAGGCCGAAGGGATCGATGGCCCAGCCCGTTGTGGGCACATAATCGAGATTGGCTTTGAGCCACTGGTGGCCCTGCGTCAGCTGCACCAGCTGTGCCATCCAGTGGGAGACAGCCTCGTCCGGCATAACCCACCCCCCAGCCACGATCTCCAGTTGTCCATCGACAATCAGCCGCTTCACCTGCTCCTGCGTCCCCTTGGGCTGCTCGTCCCACCAGAGTTTGAAGAAGGACATCTCAGCCCAGATGAACTTTCTCCGCTTGTCCTCGGAGAGTTTAGTCACCATGTTGTTGAGGATTCTGTTGGTCTTCTGGGAGTAGTATTTCTCGAAGGTCTCCAGCCAGCCGGGGTCGTTGTGGGAGTGGGGGACCACGAAGACGTTGAGCTTGCGGGTCTTGTGCCACTGCTTCTCGTCGTACTTGAGGGCCCAGCCCTGCTTCCAGACACCACCGTCTGGATTATCAAACTCCATTTGCTTGTAGAGCTCCAGCATCTGGATGTCGACCTCTGGGACCCTCTGGGGGTCGAAGCTGCACTGGAGGGGCTTCTCCGGGGGTTTTATCGGGTTCAACGGGTCCAGGTGGTGGACGTCATGGCTCGGGAGTCTCTCCGGAGAGCCCTGAACATCCGACGCCTGCTTTATCGCGCTTATCGCCTTGTGGTGGCGCGACAGGTCCTCCTCCAGCTTCGCTAATCTGCTCTCTATGTGCACCCATTGATTCTGGAAAAAAAGAAATGTGCGATGATAGCTTATCGTCGGTGTTATCCATCGTCAATGTGATACGTCGATATGATCGTTATCGTTGTTTAAAGATTGACGATACTTACGTCCTCGATCGCTAGTTTCTGGGCCTTTCCTCGGGGGGAGAACGTCAGGTCTAGCAGTAGGTACATCATCAGGCAACACGCCAGGATCCCTCCTGCTCCCAGCACTGCGAACAGCTTGAAGTAGCGAAACGTCATTTGTGTTCGCATTATAATGATCTTAGTAATTGTGATCTTTGATTATTCTAATGCAACCGCTATTTTTGGGCACCGCAATGTGCTACGACGACCAACACTCGAGCATTTTAGCGGAAGGACGTGTGTGACGCAAGATGATCCACGTTTTTCTTTATGATTTTACATTTTTTATCAGTTGTTGTTGGCTATTTATCTTGCTGATTTTTTTTACGGGTTTGAGTTATGTTTGAGGACCCAAGGGGCTCTCATTCGGATTTCTTACAGGGTTGCCAGGTTCTCGAGGGGTCTGGGGGCACACACGCGCTGTTTGTGAAGTTTTACCGCCGTTTGAATTTCGCTTGAGGATGAATTGTTGATGCAAACTTGATTAATTTTGATTCATTATTTTTTCAAATCATTTGGGATTTTTCAAGAAAATCCCAAATTGTTTAATTTGGCTGAGATATTGCGTAAATTTCTTCAAATTATCCCAGTTTCCAGTCATTGACTACTGAAGATGATTAATTTTATCCGATTATTTTCTTTTTCATAAAGTTGATTGACAATGAATGATTGTTTTGATTGTTAACTTTTTATTCGCCTTGCGATTGGTTGATGGATCAATCAATGATTTCCATGACTACGAGGATGTTATTGTGCGTTACAGCGCTCACTTGAAGGCGGTCGCGTGCGACGGCGCGCGTGATTGCCCAGTTCAATATATCAACGGGAAAAAGTTTTGAAAGCCCAAAATTTTCCACGACTTTTCTTATACGAGACCGAACGCGCGCTACAGCGCTCTGTAATTGTAACAATCATAATTGAAAATTTCAAAATGAAATTAATCATGAAATCAATTTGCCGCCTCAGACGACTGGAACCAATGAGGAATAAACGTGACAGACTTGCGAGATATCGATAGTTATCGCCTTTAAGTGTATGTTATTTTTAAAATAGGATTCTTATCACCTTTTTTCCTTTTGGAAATGGGCATACCGACACGTGTCAAAAGTTTCCAAACTCGAAAATGTCAGTGAATTTTCGTACACGGTTGCGACGCTTATGATTTTATACGCGTCTTAAAATATGTCTTAAAATAAAATTCTAATCCTTTTTGTTCAGCTTATAGAAACGCTGATTGTCGCTTAAAAATCCAAGGGGCGCGGTCTCACGGTGAGACGAAGGAAGTCGTTTGACTGTGTAGAGCTATTGTCAATGACAATGTTAAGGATGTTCGACACCCTTTTAGCCAAAATTGACGTTGTTATCATTTTTCTGGCAAATTATCGATGGGAGTGACGTGAAAAAATAACGATTTTGTGGTTTGTCATTCTTTAATGGCTCACGAAGTTGCGTAGTGGTGCGATAATTTTCATGCGTTTTTTCTACAGTTTTGTGATTCTTTTTAAAAGTTTAGAGAAAACGCAGGAAAATGTTCGGACCACCTTAAAATTTCGTCAGTCATTAAATAATGACAAAACGCAAAAACGTTATATTTTTTCACGTCAATTCCATCATAAGTTTGCCAGAAAAATTAAAAAACCGTGAATTTTGGCAGAAAGGGTGTAGAACATCCTTAAGTTTTGTAATTATTCGGGGCGTCAAATTAGCCCGCCAAATTCAAAAAGCCCGCATAACCGTATCTAGACTTGGCAACCCTGCAATGCCCAGTGGCTCTCATCCCTCCAGCTGATACAGCCAACAAAAATCCCTGAAAATTTCCCCAGGAAATTCCATAGCCGATTATTGACGTCACGGGAGGACGAAGAAGAGCCAATATCAGCTGATTCGTCGGCGGGTGTAGGTGAGCGAAGTAATAAACCCGGAAAATCATTGACATTTGTGCCAGCGAGAGGACTGTTACACCTGGGTGACTTAAAATGTCGGCAAATCCAAGTGATCCAGAAAATTCCCTCAATCAAACGTGAATAATCGTGCTATATCAGTGCAATATATCGTCATCAGTGACTCCGTTAATAATGCCTGGTGAGCCTCCAGCATCGGCTGCTGGAAAATCCAGTGGCAAAGTTAAACGCATATCAATACCCCGTGTCCAGAGCAGTACAGACACTGAATTACAGTCGCAACTGAGCCAGAGTGGATCAACACCCCTTCAGCCAGTATCGCTCCACTACGTTAACTTCAAAAATGACAATGAGGAGACATCAATACCACCAGTTCTCCAATCACGACTGCTAGACCTGTTTCAACAGATTCAGAAGGAATTCGAGATGGTGTGTCTGGAGAACATAGGCTGTAAGACCCACCGATTATTCAGTTTTAAAAATTTTATATTTTTAGATAATCTAATGACCAATCAATTGTTCAGAGTTTTGAACACCTTGTCTTCGCCATTTAAAGCCTCTGATTGCAGTACAGGAGAAGATTGACACTCTCAACGAGAGATTGGAGAGAGAGTGCTACGGCTCGGGTGAACGTAGTTTGCCACCTGGTGATTTGGCTGATTACGTGGATACCAAGAGCTCGATCAAACAGAAAGGTGAGAATTCTCGTGATTTTTGTTCTTGACTGCATTATTAATACAATTGCTTCTGCTCCTCTTGGCTCAAAATGCAAAAACAATAATAAATTTAACTCTCTTTGCTTAAATTTAAGGTGAAATTCATTCATTTCCATCTAAAACTCACGGCAATAGCGAATTCTTCAGCATGAAATAAATATAAATGAATAGAAAACACTCTATTCATTTATTTTCATCCATTTACTTATTAAACACGAAACTGATAGCTGAAATCAATAATAGGATTCAATATATACAGAGATCAATATCCCTAATAAGCCATTACTTGAATCAAGTAAAAAACCATGAGCTCCATTGAACAAAAAATTGAGAATTCTGACGAACTGATATTATTCTTAACAAAATTATTATTCCAACCACCTGCATTTATATCAAAATTACTGCTCCCCTTGGCAATTATGCAGTTGCAGTTGACAGCAATTTTAAACTCAAAATGCAAGAGCAACAATAAATTCAATTAGTTTGAAATAGGTAGATCCAAGGTCGAGTAATTTCCATCTATCACCCATACAACAAAACAAATAAAAAAGAAAAGCAAACAAACCGAGAATTCAATAAATTGCATGAGCCAAACTACCTCGGCAATGATAACAAACCAGTAGTTCACCAGACCCCAGATGCAAAGCCATCTGCCCCCCAGTAATCGCCTGAAATCCTCCAGCCCCAATAGTCTCATCAGCGCAGAAGATCAAGACTGCCCACAAGCTGAAAGCCCAAACGAGTAAGATAGTCTCCTCCTTCAAGAACCCAACCATGTCCTGCACAATGCAGCGTCAGTACGCGGGCCACAAAGACGGCATCTGGGAGGTGACAGTGGGTCGCTCAGGTCAGCCAATAATAGCGACAGCCTCTGCCGATCACACAGCCCGAGTGATGGCAATGGAGACTGGCAAGTGCCTCCTCCAGTACATAGGTCACACTGGCTCCGTCAACTCCGTGAGGTTTCACCCCACGATTGACCTGGCCCTCACCTCCTCCGGCGACTGTTCAGCACACATTTGGCAGGCAGCTGTCAACTGGGACGCACCAATGCGTCAATCGTCTTCCGAGGATCTCTCCACCCTGGACAGAACTCCCACCAATGCGCCTGGTCTCAATGACGATCAGGAGGACACACCCACCCTGAGAACACCCTTGAGGGAACTTCTGGGTCACAGTGGCGTGGTCATGGCCGCCGACTGGTTGCCAGGGGCCGATCAACTGGTCACAGCTTCCTGGGACAGAACAGCTAATCTGTATGACACTGAAACTGGCGATGTCATTCACACACTCTGCGGACACGATCAGGAATTGACTCATGTGTCCACTCATCATGCCCAGAGGCTTTGTGTCACATCAAGTCGTGACAGTACGTTCAGACTATGGGATTTCAGAGAACCCATACACTCGGTGTCGGTTTTCCAGGGACACACTGAGTGAGTTATCTATAATCTTCTACTTTTTTTTTTAAGTGCAACAACTTGAATTACGTTGAAAAAATACTTGAATCAAGTCGCGATCTATTTGAATCAAGTATAAAATATTTGAATCAAATCGCGATCTATTTGAATCAAGTAAAGAATACTTGAATCAAGTCGCGATAGACTTGAATCAAGTAAAAAATACTTGAATCAAGTCGCAATCGACTTGAATCAAATAAAAAATACTTGAATCAAGTCGCGATCTATTTGAATCAAGTAAAGAATACTTGAATCAAGTCGCGATCTATTTGAATCAAGTAAAGAATACTTGAATCAAGTCGCGATCTATTTGAATCAAGTAAAGAATACTTGAATCAAGTCGCGATCTATTTGAATCAAGTAAAGAATACTTGAATCAAGTCACGATCTATTTGAATCAAGTAAAGAATACTTGAATCAGGTTGCGATCTACTTGAATCAAGTAAAAAAATACTTGAATCAAGTCGCGATAGACTTGAATCAAGTAAAAATACTTGAATCAAGTCGGGAACTACTTGAATCAAGTCGCGATCAATTTGAATCAAGTAAAAAAAAACTTGTATCAGTACTTGAATCGAGAGATTTTTTTTGTTCGCTGATATGAGGATGGTTAAATTTTTTTGTCAAATGAAGGATAATTTTTTTTATTCCATACTTGCAGAGCCGTCACTTCCGCCGTTTTTACGAGGGAGGACAAAATAGTTTCTGGGTCGGACGATCGGAGCGTCAAGGTCTGGGAGTTGCGTAATATACGCAGCCCATTAGCTACTATTCGGGGGGACAGTGCTGCTAATAGACTCGCTGTTTCCAGTGCTGGAATTGTTGCAATTCCGCATGATAATAGGCAAATACGATTGTTCGATCTGACTGGACAGAGGCAGGCTAGGCTTCCAAGGACTAGCAGACAAGTAAAATTTTTCTCAATGATTTTCTTCGATATTCGTAACATTATTATTTTTATTTACTGATTGGGCATTTTATTTTTTTCGTTCTAATGAAAATTTTAATCTAACAATCTAGGTAAAGTACTCAGGAATCAATTGACCAAAATTTCTCATCGCTCATTGAATTTTCTATATTGCTCGTCATACATTATTCAATAAGAAATATTTTACCGAGTTGATGGTAAAAAAAATTCAAATTTTAAAGACAATCACTTTCCATTTCACAAATATTCTTCATTTTCCAAGCTCAACAATTGATAATTTACAATAAATCCAATAAAACTGCACATATAATTTTTTTTTCATTAAAAAACTGAATTTTTTCACTCGCAAAAAAATCCAATCAATCAAAAATTACTAAAAATCCTCAAATATTTATTTATGTACGACATTAATAATCAACAAATGTTTGAATCAATGAATTTACAATTTGGTCTTGATCATTAGGGCCATCGACGAATGGTGTGCTCAGTGGCCTGGGCAGAAGACTCAAATGCAACTTGTAACTTATTCTCCTGTGGATTCGACAGACTTGTTCTCGGCTGGAGTGTTCTTCCCGTTAAAGATGCTTAATAAATCCCCTATTACTTCATATCACAATATGTTGAATTAGCCTCGAATATCACTCTGTACTATTGTAATATTTTGGGTAAATGAGGGCAGCCACACCCAAGTTGATACGTAATTGTGTGCCAGTAAGCCAGCAGCTAGACCTATCAGTGATCCACCTCTTCCGCTCTCGCAGACAACTAGAATAATTAAAAAATTCTAAATTCAATGATTAAAAAAAATAATGACAAAGTGAGAATCAAAAATACATATGATCGAATAGATATGTTCATTTTATTCATTATTACTTTGGATTGTACGTTGAAACGAATGATCAAAAATACCAGAGAATTATCGAGGACAAATAATATAATTAAGTGAAAATTCGTCTAGTCGCGTTTGTAGAAACTTTTGCACTGAAATAAAGAATAAATGAGTTTTTGAAAAATTGAGAAAACTGGTTGTGTTTATGAGTACATCCTGCCAATTACTCCACATTAATTTTTTGGGAGTGCTTGCTCTGCAATTTTAGGTCTTGAAAACTTTGCGATAACTCTGTGAGAGCAAAGTACGATCAACTCAAAACGTCATATATACATGATCAAATAGAAATATTCATTTTATTCACAATTACAAAACTACCAGTCGATTATCGAGGACTTTTGGCCTAAAATAGATAATCGGAGGAAAATAACGAACGATGAAAATTAATGTAATTATCCTTGAATAATTATATGGTTTCGTCTTCAATCAGTTATTTCAAGTAATGAATATGTCTCCATGAAAATGGATAATGTTTTTTATATATTTTTGCATTTTCTAAATGGAAATTAATAAATTCCCCTGACGAGTGGACGTATCGCTTAAAATTTTGGTAAAATAGTGAAAATTTGCAGTTTACTGCATTTTTCGATGGTAAAACTGGTGAAAATTGCCGCGTGATGGCCCGGAGGACTGGGAGAAATTCAAAAGAATAGTCGAGTTTTCTGAAAAATTGATAAACATCTCGTGTTGATGAATACCCGTCGCCTATTACCCCAGATTAATTATTCACGATCTCTCAGTGAATATTTTTACCTGAGTACGCTGTGAGGAGGCAGAGCATGGTGTATCCATGAATGAGGGCGTAATGCAGCTCGTGAGACACATGTTGCCAGACAAGCCCGAGAAGCCCCAGGAGTTTGGCGCAGCCCCCGACGATCAAAGCGCGAACGAGATCAGTCGCTTTGTACTTCCTGGGCCGTCTCTGAGAGACGAGCCATCGCAACTCTGTTCCGAGGATGACGGCTATCACGAAAGAGCCTAGAGATAGACCTGTGTGGGCTAGAAGAATGGAGAAGCCCCTCTCCCCCTCGAACCTGTCGGTCTTGAGGGGGTCGGTGGAGCTGTCGTGGATCGCCCAGACTCGGTAGGATTCACTCAGGAGGAGGATTAACATCAGCTTCCAGTAAGATTCGAATTTACTGTTGTAGAGGAGGTGCCTGTACGCTGGTTTCTCTAGGAGCACTACGTCCACTAGGACTATCACTGGGTCGTACTCTATGTATTTGTCCGCCAGGCTTCCGCAATTCGTCTGGAATAGGGGGCCACGAGGGTCAAGGTTGCATAATGATCGGTTATCTCTCTAAATATCACAAAAGGTGAATAACACACGTCAAAATTTCACAGGAAAATATCACCATAAAAAAATATCACAGGGTAATATCATCAATAATAATAACATCACAGCGATAAATATCACAATTTTATAATATCAAATGGAAAATATCACACACGTGTTATCATGTACACGTGACTCTTACCGTTACTCTTTGCAATTACTACCATGTAATAAAGTGGAGAGCACAGAAGTGGAGTCTTAATAGAATAAAAAATTTAAAAAAAGAAGTGGAGTGTGACGGAAGTCACATTTGAGTAATTCTTAGCTGGAAGGACAGTGGAGACAAGAAAAAGGAAGAAATATCGTGATTTTCTGCCAGTTCCTAAATAACTTTCTTCATTATATCATATTATTATATAAGTCATATTATATTATCTATTTTATTATCATTGTCATATTTTTCCCGTGTGAATTTTGACACTTACACATTTTAATACTTTGAGGACACTAGGACTGTACCTCCTGTACAACTCCTCGACCTCCACTCCGCAATTAATGCACGTATACATCGTCCTGGAAATAGAGTTAGATAAGTAACGGTGGTCGAAGTGGCCTTCACAGGTAAGTGATTGCTTCAAGGAAAAACAATTTACAAAGTAACAATTACGTTCAGTGCTTATTGAGGGCCCAGAAAATCTCCCCCTCTCCAATGCCATCTCGGAAGTATCGGTGAAAGCATAAGCAGTTTTGTATTGCGCTCAACTGTGGAATTTATTCAGTTCCCCGGTGACTTCGAATAACGAATCAGTGAGATCGTCAACAGTGGGAAGTGATTATGGGATCGAAAATCGATATTGAGTTGACTGCGGGGCGGAAAATGCCGGCTCTGGGGTTCGGCACTTGGCACGTACGCGGTGTCAGTTATCTAGGGGTGGCTGGGGCAAAATGGAGACTTGGAAATAATTTTTTTAATTTACAAATTAAATTTTTTCAAATTCGAATTTTTACGAAATTTCGCTGAAAGTGAATTTTCCGAGTTTCGTCACATGTGATGCCTCAAATTCATTCGATTAAGCATTAAGTAGTTTTTGCAATGCCATTTCATTTAAAAATAATGAGTATCCATTTTACTCCACTCGCCCCTAGTCATCGGCAGTAATTTGCATTTGCATATTTCAATTTGAAAAATTGTCGAAGGCTTCTGAGGAGGAGATTACGAAGGCGATGGAGGAGGCCTTGGAGGCCGGGTACCGGCATATCGATTGTGCCCCGGTGTATTTGAACGAGGCAGCTATTGGGAGAGTCCTGAAGAGGTGGATGGACGCGGGGAGGGTCACGCGAGAGGAGTTATTCATCGTGACAAAAGTATAAAAATTATTGGAATTAGGAATTACGGAGGAAAATATTTCGAGAGGTTTAACGAGAGTATGTTAATATATTTTTCATCACTGGTGCGTAAAGTAAAATTTTACGTCCGCTCCGCGTGCGGAAAATCCTGCGTTTCACACCTTGTGATGAAAAATAGAATTCGACACTCGTGGGAGAAGCGTTCTTTTACCCTTGGGAGGGCTGCACTCGCCTTTGACGAGAGTTGCACACCTCCCACGGGTTAAAAAACAGTTTTCCGCACTCGTATCGAAATATACTATTTCGCAGTTCGTACAATAAAATAGCATTTTTTTTATCAGTTGTGTGTAAAGCGAAATTTTACGCACAAGCGACGACAAAAATGCCTTGACATTTCTTCCTGCTGCACCCTGATGAGATAAATGAAGAAATCATCAAAGGAATGCAATTTTTACTTGAAAGAAAAATGACAAATTTTCATCTATCGAAAAATCAAAGTTAGCACACTAAAATTTAAGGATTTTTTTTCCTTATTTTGAAGTGAATTTTTCCAACTTTAAAGTGAAAATTACATTCACTCGGCAGCTGTTGATAATTCCGGGAAATAGTATATTTTGATACGAGTGCATAAAAGGGTTTTTTACTCCCAAGGGTCAAATAACACTTTTCCCACGAGTGTGGAACCCTATTTTCCGTCACAAGATGTGAAAAGTGGGATTTTAAATTTCACTTTACGCACAAGTGATGAAAAAGACATTTTACCACTCCTTCTGGGAGAAGGCAAAATAAACATTTCGAAATCATCGATATTTTGAGTGTCAGTCAACAGTTTGTCTCCTCATCTCCAAATTTTTTTTTCGAAGTTTAAAATGAGATCTAATTCATCCAAATCACACCATTTTCCTAGAAGATTCCAATAATGAACAGAACATCATTCTATCTCCTCAAATTTCGAAATGAAAGAGAATTATTCGTGATTTCAAAGCTGCCACCGACAGGCAATCGTCCCGGAGGCCCCGAAAAATTCTTAAAGAAATCGTTGAAAGATCTTCAACTGGAGTACGTCGACCTTTACTTGGTCCACACTCCCTTCGCATTCGAGGAAGTCGGTGACGAGCTGCACCCGACGGACGAGGAGGGCAATTTCCGGATGGACAATAGCACCGATCACATCAAGGTGTGGGCGGACATGGAGGCGGAAGTCGCCGCTGGTCGAGCTAAGGCTATCGGCCTATCCAATTTCAATATCAAGCAGATCAAGAGAGTCTTGGATCACGCGAAAGTTCCAGTGGCTAATCTGCAGATTGAACTGCACGCGTATTTCCAACAGAATGATTTGGTGAGATCATTTTCCTCATTGAAAATTCAATTCTAATCTTCAATTTTAGTGCCGAATGGGATCCGAAAAGGGACTCCGAGGCCGTAAAAAAATCTTCAATTTTATTTTTCTTTCAATTTTTTAAATTCAGAATTGAATGAAAAATTCATTGAAACTTTCAGTAATTCGTGGTTTTTTTATTAATCAAAATTATTTTATTCTTTTTATTCACTAAAATTATTTCATTAATAAAAAAATCACGATAGTTTATAAAAAATATTAAACACCTATTTCTTAATTTTTATTAACTATCGTATGGGCTATTAGAGAAAAACTAATGTGAAATCTGATGGGAAAAATAGTACAATTGATGATGGATATTTTTTTAAGGTCAAATTCTGCAAGTCTAAAGGAATAGCAGTGACTGCATACTCTCCCCTAGGGTCAAGAGGTTTTGTGAAGCTCATGGGGAAGACCGAGGTCATCCCCACCATCATGGATAACAGCACAATCCTGAGGATATCAGAGAAGCACGAGAAAACTCCTGCCCAGATCGCCCTGAGGTTCATAATTCAGAGGGGAATCGCTGCCATCCCCAAGAGCACGAATGGGGACAGAATGCGAAAGAACATTGATATCTTCGATTTTGAGCTGGACGAAGATGACATGGAGGCGTTGAGAGCCCTGGACCAGAGCTCCAACGGGAGAGTCTGTGATTTCTCCTTTATTAAGGGGGCTTGCAGTCATCCAGAGTTCCCATTCTAATTTTTATGACTTTAAGGGGTAACAAGGGCACCGTTTCCTCGAAATTTTCAAATTTCCTGCTTAATGTTAGTAATATTTCTCGAAGCCAAAGTCCATTGATCTTCATCAGGGATAGCCAAATTTGTAATATTTTATTACGGTTAATACTGCAGCCCTTAATTAGATAACAGCACTCTTGAAATTTTTTGAGTACTTAAGTATCATCGATTCAAATATTCAAATTTTCAACTATTTTATCAATCAATAATTTGAGGTAGGAAGATTGACGATTACTTGTGTAATCGAAAATCCCCGTTCAAAAAATTTGAATTATTCACTTAGTAGTAAATTTAGTTTCATATTAACAAATTTTAAATATATCATTATTCGTAAAAAATCAGGTTATTAGGGGAGGGTAGGGTAAATGGACACTTTAGACTTTTCTCAAATTATTCATAACTCAGAAACAATTGTATCAATAAAGCTCAGTTTAGGTTCATCACAAAGGGAAAGAATTGTTCTTTGTATTGAAAAAAAATGATTAAATTTCATCAACATTTCTACCCGTCACTAATATTTTTTAAACAGTCAGGTGACCATTTAACCCCGACCTCCCCTAATGTTATATTATTTGAAAAATTGAATCAACATATTTTAAACCTTCAATAATGTAAGGGTCAAATCGTTGTAATATTACAGAAATTTAATACTGATGGAGATCCCTGATCTTCATCATCACCTCCTGGAGATTAATGTGCTTTGATTTGTAAAAAGATCCGATAACTTTCGGGAGGAAATTTGTTAAAAAATTTGGAAAATGAGCGGCGTTCTGTCACCCCTTAAATGAAGACGAAATTAAAATAGAAATAAAATCGAAATAATTGAGTTGAGGGCGATGAAAAATTGGAGAAATGAATAATGTTTAGCAGATTTGAGGTTGATTTCCTCTGACTCTGCGACATCACTCGTGTTTTTGGGTCACAAGTGAAAACATATTTGCTCCGACGATTTTCTCCACCCTTTTTAAACTTTTATTTTTTATATTTACCGTTATCAGCTGCGTGGGCCGTTATTTCTGGCGCAAATGTCCTCTGGAGATATTTGACTTGATTGATAAAGAGTGCATTTCACCGACTATAAAACGAAGTTGAATATATTGACAAATTAGGAATGAAACCGATTTTTCGAAGTCATTTTGCAACTGTTCATCCAGAAAACCACAATTGTTTCACNTCCCATAGGGGGGATTTCAGATAGTTTAGGCACACATACATGCAAAGGATACTGAAGGTAATCTCCGAAGGGTCAAGCCGAAGGCACAGACTTAAAATATCGTAGTTGTAATTCATCGGCTTTGGAGGTTATGTAGACACAGACATTAGTAAATATGAAGGCTCGTTCTCATTGACGTTCGAGTTCTCTGATTAACTTTCAATTTTTTTAAACTGAGAATAGCAATTTCTATTGGAGTATCATCAATAGAATATTTGGCTTCATTTTCATGTATCAACGGTAAATGATATATTAAATATTCGTTATTATATCAAGTTATTATATTAATAATTCAGCAGCGAAGTGGTAAAACGGTACAAGCCAGTTTTGACCAGTGACCAGTTTTTAATGAATATCTAGGAATCTAAGGGAGACAGCAAAATTTTTGTCATAACATTTTTTGTAGAGCCGATTGAGAGCTACAACAAATGTAATTACGAAAATTTGGCTATCTCCCTTAGATTCGGAAATATTCCGCAAAAACTCAACTGGGAGATATCGACTTAAACCGTTTTACCACTTCGCTAATTATATTATATAATTTACATTACTATTTATATTATATTCATTATTATATTGATAATTAGTTAATATACGTTAAATGAATATTAAATGCACCCATTAATTTTCTCAGAAAAGAATATTTTATCAGTTGAAAACTCGAAGCTTTTTCATTGATTAATAATAATTATTGAGTATATGTACATGTTGTTCTGTGGATACAGACTATTTTTAATGATTGGTCTTAGATTACGTATACAGATCGACGAGGCACTAACTTCATTTCATTTTGTTTATTGTCTTGAAAGGAGGTAGCGTTCAAATATTCCGTCACAGGGATGTATTTTGGCCCTCCGAAGGCGTCCAACATCGCAATGGACAATATATCTAATTTAGCGAAGAAAAAGTGATGATCTGAAATGAAGATTTGGGTTTTTAAAATTTGTACTCGATTGAAATTTTAATTTTACACTTTAGCTTCATTTTTTTTATGAGTAGAAGAATTCTCGAAATGTTTGTGAATAATAGAGAGAGATTTGAATGAGTTAATAAAATTACCAGTTCACAATTAATCAATTATAAACTGATAAATCATTAATTATCATTCATCTAATTCATTCTCACCTGGTGGCATGTGAGAGAGCCAAGGATGTCTCCCAAAAACAGCATTTTTGGCAATATCATAGTCCCGATCTCTCGGAAAAACCTAAAATCAAAGAACAAGATTTTCCAAAAAAGTAAAAATCCATTTTGTCGCGTAAATTTTCAATTTGCGATCTTCTACCTCTTTAATTCTCCCGGAAAGTCCCACCCTCGCACAGCGCGGATCCATCGGGTCCATGAGCTTCTGTTTGCACCAGGAGCCTTGGGCCAGGGTCATCATCAACGTCGCTCTGTGATCTTTCTGCTCAATTAAAAAAATTTATCCCTCAACATACGATTCAACTCTGACGCGTGATTCCAGGGAAAAATTCCAAACGACTTTTTCATCCCAAAAAAAATTCAGTAAAATGAACACTTTTTACAAAAGACTTTTTCTTTCGCAAATTCGTCAGAAGAAAAAACAATTCCTCATTTCCCCCTGACCAATTCTGACGCGTGATTACAGGGGAAAATTCCAAACGACTTTTTCATCCCAAAAAAAATTCAGTAAAATGAACACTTTTTACAAAAGACTTTTTCTTTCGCAAATTCGTCAGAAAAAAAAATTCCTCATTTCCTCCTGAGATCGATTATTATCGGGATATCTCACCGCGAGATCCTGCGCCGTGAAATCCAGCGGCGTAAGATACATGTAAGGTATTCCCGATCCGTTTCCAATAGGTCCATCGCTCACGGAAATTACACCGGCGAATGGGAACGATGGGATATCCTTTCGAGTGCTGATGGTAGCTACGGAGCTCCAATCTACCCATAAATCATCAAAGATAATGAGAATGATTTTTTACACTAAAGAAAAAAATCAAAAATCGATGATAAATTGATGAAACAGCTGTTCATTTCGTAAACATGTTTGAATATCTCCGAATCCAAGGGAGATATCAAAATTTTCGTCAAAACCTTTTTTGTGCCTCTCAATCTCCCCTATAAAAAAGGTCCTTACAAAAATTCCGCTATCTCCCTTAGATTCCGAGATACCCCCAAAAAACGAAGTATCGCCTCCCGTTTTAATCATCTCCCCTCGTTTAATAGCTTCACAACGAGATTAAATTCTCAAATAGAACAAGAAAATATTATTACTCGCTTGATTGACGATGAACCTCGCCATCACCGCAGGATGCGGCTCCCTGGGAGGAGTCCGCGGCATCGAAACCCTCTCCTCCCTCCCCTCCCCGAAAACTCTATCATCATGATTTTTCCTCTCCCAGTTCTTCAATCTCTTCCACTCTTTGAATTCCTCAAATTCCCTCCACTCATGCTCCTCCGCCCCCCAATACCGTCGGGAGGATCGTTTATTCCCGATGGCAGGACTCACCGCCGCCGAAAAAATCGAAATGACGGAGAGAAAGAGCCAGAGGCGAGCCATTGTTCGAGAACAACAAAATGCGACTGAGTAATTCGAGCAAGTCATGAATGATCCGCACATGTACTATCTTGTATTGACCTTACGTGCACGCAGACAGTGGGGGCAATGTCAAGATTTCCGCCTAGAGATTTTTATTTCAAACTAAAAAGGGGTTTCTTACCTGAAACGACTGTTCTTAATTGAAAAAATGGACGAAAAGAAGAGAAACTACTTTTTTTTTTAGACGAGAATGATGATTGATGAACATGATTAATACTTTAATTTTAATACTCTACAGTTCAATGATTCATATGGAGTTTTTTCTAGTCTATATACAATGAATTACATGAATTGTGAAGAGAATGAATTTATAATTAATTGAGGGATTATTCTGCGAATTTCTCCGCAAGGGTGAGGGAATTCCAGAGGAAAATATTGAATATTTTCTCATAGAATGCGGGAAAGAAGAGAAACTATTTTTTTTTTCGAGAAATGACGAGAATGATGATTGATGAACATAATTAATACTTTAATTTCGATACTGTACAGTTCAATGATTCATATGGATTTTTTTCTAGTCTATATACAATGAATTACATGAATTGTGAAGAGAATGAATTTATAATTAATTGAGGGATTATTCTGCGAATTTCTCCGCAAGGGTGAGGGAATTCCAGAGGAAAATGTTGAATATTTTCTCATAGAATGCGGGAAAGAAGAGAAACTATTTTTTTTTTAGAGAAATGACGAGAATGATGATTGATGAACATAATTAATACTTTAATTTCGATACTCTACAGTTCAATGATTCATATGATTTTTTTTCTAGTCTATATACAATGAATTACATGAATTGTAAAGAGAATGAATTTATAATAAATCGATGGATTATTCTGCGAATTTCTCTGTAAGGGCGAGGTCCAGAGGAAAACGTTGAATATTTTCTCATAAATTGCGGGATAACGAACCTTGAATTGAGAACCATCTCTCACTTTCATCAAAAAACATTTTCCCCAGACCCATCCCTTCCCCGAGACTTTCACAATTCATCCTTCGAGAACCCTTTTTTCTCATTACTCATCTTCTGCGCCTAATTAACATCAATGATTATCGTAGATCTAATCACAACTATTCAATCCCCACAATTGGCTCGGGGATGCTTATGAATAATAAACACCGCCATCAAACCTCTCTCATTATAATCTAGGTCGACGAACCGTTACCCGTACGTTAGATGTTGAGAATCATTGATATTTCACACGAATGAAAATTGATGAAGTAGATCCGTCTGCATTAGCCATTACCATTTTTGTTACACTAACAATCATATCAACTAATAATTGCAATGAAAGGATAACGGTCATCGACATTGCTACGTGGGGCGATGACGACGTCATTTTGCGAGGTTGTGACGTATGATAGAGCTGATGACATATTCGGATTTTTATGTCTAGTCTTCGATTCACATGCGAAAGGTTCCGAGTTCAAATCCCATAGACCGATTCATTTATTCCAAACGAGATACGTTAACTATTAACGAATGGTCTAATTCTAATTGAATATCACCAAATGAATATTCGTTAGTAGTCAACGAGAGGTTCACTTGAAAAGTGAAAATCGAGTCGAACAAGACTCCTCAAATGTGCATTCATTAATAGTTAACAAATTAATTTGTTAACTATTAACGAATGCACATTTGGTGAGACCGAATAGACCCTCGTCTCCAACCAAATCCATTCGTTAACAATAACTAATTCTTTCTATGAGTGCAGCCGAGTATACGATGAAATCTAGTCACTTTGGAACTCTCACTTACATTTCGACAACTGATAACGGCATTTTTTATCCGTTTCATCGAGATGTTATAATAGTAGTGATTCACATGCGAAAGGTTCCGAGTTCAAAACGCAGTCGAGTATACGACGAAATCTAATCAATCAGTCTTGATCAATTCTAATTCCCAATGTTTTAGACTTCTATGTACCTCATCTTTTATCAAGATGCTTTAATAATAGTCCATCATCTCCGTTGAGAATTCAATTGTCCTTCCCAAGGAGAAATCTGGTAACCTTGGTCCAGGTGCCTTTCCCAACGCGCCGCTGTTTAGGGATTCAGTGTTCACCGATTCGTGTCACTACTTCTCATCAAAGGTTCAAAAAAAGCTATCAGAAAAATTCCGAAAATTCTTAATGCCCAACAGAAGAAGAAATGAACCCGAATGGTTCATCACCGCCCTTGCTATTGGCGATTAATAATGTTCCATCGGATGAAAATATTAATACACATAGAGGGTAAGGTCGAGAAAACTGGCACGATGTCCGGGGCAGATGGGCAGGTCTGTATGTATGTGGGTCGTCGTCTAACTGTTCACCGTACCGTTTCAATACCCGACCACCTCGGTCCCGCTTCAAACTCACTCCGACCCCTCCCCTCACCTCCTCCATCTGACTTTACCACTTGTTCCCCACCTATTCTACCTTTTCTTCATTCCATCATTACGATTTATATTTCCTTTTTTTACAACGTCTTTTCTTTTTCTATTGCGTTCCCTCTCGTGCGAGAGCTCAAGGAAAGGTATCGGAGGTACATTCCTACAGTTGTGATAGCTCGAGGTGGAAGTATCACGGTGACGTCCTCAGAGGTGGAGTGAGGAAGACACTTCAGTCGCGTATCGTGCAGCATTAAGAGCACTAGCTTCCGCGAGAGGAGAGTTATCAGCACTTTGAGAGGATATTTTTTTCAAAATTGTGTTTGTCGAGAAAGACCTGAGAATGCTGAGGATATACTCATAAATTCAGTTTTTATTGTTGTGGAAATATTTGAAAAGAAGAGGAGAAAGGGAGACGTCAGCAGGTAAATATTAAATGTGTTTTGATAGTTTGGCTGAGGTATTTCAATGGTCGTTGGAAGTCATTGACCCAGATTTATTGGGATCTACGACTCCTCAAGGTATTTTGGGTTGACGCTTTAGTATCAGCAGTTGTGCTGGCGCCTGGAAGTTACACAAAGGAGGAAAGAATGATGGAAAGTGATGATCGAGGGGGAAATTAAACTTGTAATGGAGATGACGATAAAAAGTTGCTTCGCATTTTGTGGCTCAACGAATTCATCAATTGACGCGAATGAAACGCTTTATTAAAGATTATTTCAGACATTTCTTTGAAACTACTGATAGAAAAGGTGGAACGATTCAGTTGCACCAAACGAGGCTTCTTAACTGTTACCGCGATTCGTTAATAGTTAAAAAGTCTCGTTTGGTTCGACTAAATCGTTCTATCAGTGTATTGGGGAAATGAGAGAAAAATGTCAAGAGACCTCATTCTAATCTAGCAAACACTTCTCTTCCGCTTCCTCCCACGATAACTGCAGAATACTTGAACCGCGTCAACGACTTCCGCCTAATTTCCTCATTTCTTCTTCCTCCAGAAATGGACAATTTACAATGGCGACCGATAATCATCGTCACGGTCCTGATAACCCTAACAGCCTCATCACCGGTGACCGCTGACTCCCTGATGGGTGGTCACCTGGACAACGAGCCAACATCTCCCACCTCGGAAGACACACATCATCATCGTCCCAGCATTCCGCCATTAGCTTTCAACGGTGGTCAGCCATTCTCCCTGGAGAAGGATCCCGTTACCGGGCAAATCGACTTTGGCAAGGCACCACCATTTAAAGCCCTCAATTACACCGGTTCTTACGCCAGCGATGATGTACATAAAGAGGAAAGCGAGACTGGGAATGAAGAAACCGAGAATGACGCCATAATCAACAGCAAGAGCGAGGAGGATCAGCCGATGCCGAACGAGATAAACCCGTACTCTCCAAGTTTTCACGATTACCTGAACCTTCCGGTGCGCTACAACGATCACGAAAAGTACACGAGCGACAAGTATCCGCTGATCTCCAATTCCTACGCGAATACGAAGGTCCAAGGGGGCTCCTCCGGTTACAAAATCTACAACGCCTTGAATCACAAGAACTACAACAGCATAAGCTACCCGGGGAAGGCTTCGACGTCGCAGTCATACTCCAACACGCGAACTCCCTTCGTCCCTCGGACGACGAAGCGTCCGACCACGACAGCCAGAACAACCAGAACTACCACAACAACGACGTCAACAACAACAACAACAACAACAACTACAGCTAGACCAACAACGACAACGCGAGCTACGACGGTTACGAAGAGGCCGACAACTGCCGAGCCCGTTACGACGTGGAAGCCCCGGCCAGTAGATCGTTACCCCATGGATTACGACGAAGACGTCATGCTGCCTATTGAGAAGATGCAGACGTCGGGGAACGGAGGGGATCACTTCGTGTCCTTCCCGAAGTTCGATTATGACGAGGGGTACGATTATCTTCACCAGGAGCCGTCAGCGCCGTCATCATCATCGACGACTACAAGTAGACCCTCGACAACCACAACGACAGCAAGGCCTAGCACCACTACAACTCCAACAACAACTACAACAACAACAACAACAACAATGAGAACTACCGAAGCTCCGACTACGGAACCCCCCAGAGGGTCCCAGAGCCCCCTCGTCAACAACCAGAGGCCCCCTCCGGTGAATGCAGTAGTCAATGGTCACCAGAACTACCCCAGCTTCAACCCCGATGGTCCCCAGAGCTACCCGGGATTCAATCCCCTGGCTGTCGAGTCCTCCAGCAATGTAATAGTCCCCCCAGACCAGGACACCATCTCCTTCGTCCTGGGGAACAGGCAGAATGTCCAGGGGTCCTACTACGGTCACGGAAGCGCAGTGGCGGAGTCGCCCTACGGCGACGCCGTGGTAACCCCCAACAGAATGGACACCAGCTACGACCACAATCTGAAGATCGGAGTGCCCTCTCCGGAGGTGCAGGCCCCTCAGGACGTTCCCAAGATTCCCTCCGGGTTTCAATTCCCCCAGAGGGATGTTGTGAACAGCGGACAGAAGTGGTGGTTCAATAACGATCAGTCCGAGAAGACTCAGAGTGTCGACGATAGCGATAAGGACAATCGAGTTAATGTGGCCGCTGGGTACAGGGTCGTCTTCCCAACGTCGGAGCCCTCGACCTCCCCGAATTCGGTGGTCTCGAGTACTGACGTCACCACGACGACTGTGGGGCCCTCAGGGGTGCTGGGGGCACTGGGATTTTCGGAATTGTCGGATGTGCTGGTGCCACCGGCTGTGGACAGGCCCGTTCGTCCGCAGGGCCACCCCCCCGTGCACGCACACCCCCCAGGTCACCCCCAGGGCCATCCGCACCCACCGGGTCACCCCCCCAACGGCCGACCGCATTACCACTACCACTCGCGCCCGCTGGACCTTCCCAACCGCATCCCGAGGCCACCGAATACCTTCAAGATTCGACCGCCGTTGGACATCAACCTCCCCAACATCCTCCCGCAATTCCGGCCGAACGTGAAGACCTCCCAGAGACGGGGGAGCGAAGCCATCGGGACCATGATCATCTCGAGCCCTCAGAAATACCCGACGAGGGTGTCAGTGAGACCTACGTTGCACCCGCCGCCCTCCCACAGGCCCCCGAGGCTCCCCCCACAGCCGGTCTCCCCTCTTCAGAGGTTGAAACCCCCGCCACCACCGCTGCCCCCGCCGATCTACGCGCTGAGACTGCCGTCCCCCGAGGCTTTGGTGGACCTCCGAGGGCCGGAGGAGCACCCCCAGAAGGACATTCCCATCCGGAGGAACGCCGGGGAGGGCCTCATCGACGAGCGAAATCGCGGTGGGCAAGTTATCAAGTCAAGGCTGAATGACGAGAACTCGGATAAATTGGAGGGGCCCCTCCCCCCGCGCCCTCCCAAATTCTTCGAGCGTAAAAGTGGAAACGACACGAGGGTGACGACCCTCCAGATGATCCAGCATCACGGGGTTGACGTCGAGGGGCTCGACAGAGAGGACATGCAGGGGGACCAGCCCCAGGGGGATCACAACGACAGGGGGGTCAAGGGTGGTGCGGAGGAAGTGGCGCCTGTCTTCGTGGTCTACCCCGTGAAGGGGGCCATAGGCATTCACGCGGAGGGAGATGAGGACAAGCATCTGGAGGAGAGCGTGGTGGTGGGGACTCACGGAGGGGAGAGGCCCCTGCCCCCTGACACTCTCTCGATATCCCCGGGGGACGAGGAGGGGGAGGAGGAGGAGGAGGTCAAGGTGCCCGGCAAGCTCGTCGTCTCGGACTTTCCTTATCCCCTTGAGCGACCCGACCCCAGCATGTTCATCACTCCCGTGAAGGAGAGGCCCCTGCTGGTGCCCAGCGAGCAGGATCAGGACGAGGAGGAGGAGGGGATCGTCAAGGACACGAGCATCAATGTCATCCCGTACCTTCAGGATCACGTGCCCTTCGCCATCAAGACCAACGCCATCTCCACGACGTTGCACCTCGGGTCGAGCCCTCCGGGCGCCTCCTCGGGGCCCTCGCAGGGTGGCTCCACACCCATTGCCTTCGTATACACGCCGACAGTGAGGCCCCATCAACCCCCCGAGTCCAGTGAGGTTTATGAACGGAATCCCGTACTTCTACCCTCCCAACAGCCGTCCAGCTCCTCGAGCTCGGCGCCTTCTCCCCAGAATTTCATGGCGCCGTTTTTCGCTAGTGTCAGCGCCGAGGTGCCGTCCAGGGACGGGTGGAGCGTCGTGACGCTCAGGCCCGCGAGGGGAGAGGGTAAGACTGCTGAGGCCGAAAACAGGGTTGTCGAGGAGGGGAAGGGCGAGGCTGAGGAGAGGGGAGGAAACTCCACGGCTTCTGGGGCTGATGCCCCTGAAGAGGGCGAGGAGGGGGGGCTTCAGACCGAAGCCAGTGAATTTGATGCTGAAAATTTTAAGCCCCAGTTGTTCGGGGGGTTCCAACCGATTCTAGAGTTCCCGACGGACTCCGCGGAGGTGCCCAGCGAACTCAGGAATAAGGAGGCCGTGGGGGTGATGGAGAAGCCCAGGGGGGTCAAGGAGTCCGCCCCGAGGACGTCGTATGGGGACTGATTTGAGAGGTGGAGGGAAGAATGAGTTGGGGAATTTTTGAAAAAGTTTACACGTTTTCTGGGGAAACTAGAGACTCTCGTTGCAGTCGCATTTCCCATTATATTCAGCGGTTTTGGAGATCAAATGAATTTGGAGGTCCCTAGAAGGTCCTCCGGAGGCTCTGGGTTCTCAGTTTCTTTACAAATTCAGAGAGTTTTTAGTGGTCAACTTTTGGAGTGGTTTCGTAAGAAACTTTGTAAAATTTTTCAACTCGTCTTTTTGTAATCATTAACTATAGAATAGCAAGAGTAATCGTCTTATTAATTAGTTCATTGTCATTATATCTTGAACTCTGCGCTGCCTGATAATTCTTCAACTCAGGCAGCTCTATGATCTCCACTGTCTCATGTCTCATTCATCACTCAACGGTTTTTATAAATAAAAAATTGTATATTTATTCAACTCAATGGAATGTTCAACTTTGTACGTATGCGATAGTACCATGTATTCAAATCGTTGAATAATGGATTTTTTAGTACTTATTGTATTTGTTCTCAGTGGAAAGTATTCTCGGTACTATTCGCACATGTACGAATTTTTAAGTATAACTCAAGTGTATATCATGCTTAGCATTGTCTTGGTACACATATGCCAGTAATGCATGTGCGTATCACGACTAGATATATTAATTAGACGTAATTTTATCTTTGTTCGCTGTATCAAGTCTCGTAGGTGAATTACTTTGTAATTAATCAGTGGTTGTTCTGGTGTGAAGTGATGAAGCGAGAAAAAATTTACCTTAAAAAAATTTTATCGTGAAGTTCGAATTGACTTTTTTCATATTGAGCTTTAGCTTTTCCTCGTTTTGCTACTTCATCTTTTCCTTCACTGACGATAAATCGATTGATAAATAAATTAACTGATTATACTGATTGAGAATTCCAATTATTTCTTGGAGATAAATGCACTGCCCCGTAGGAGGATATCTAGAATTCCCTTTTTCGGCGAATCCTGTCAACTTCCGAATAATTGGAGATCGAGTTTCAGGACAACTTCGCCATTATCAACTTCTCGTAGCTTTATTCGCTTTTGGATGGGACCGCACGAGTCCTTGCAGTCGCGCATTATGTCGACGATTCGTATTTCCGCTCGTCCGAGAAAATCTGGAGGGAAAAATTTTGATTTTTAATTTTTAAAACAACTTTTTACATTTTGATTTTCAATTTAATTCTTCAAATTTTACCATCTGGAGTGTAATAGCTCTTATCAAACACTGTTATGCAAAGTGTATCCTCATTAAGATCTTTTATTTGGAACTGCATGGATGTGTCCCACATGGGACAGTCTGTCCCAGAGACGACTGGAGTTCTCTCCTCTTGGGATCCCATGGAGACTTTACAGAATGCATTACATTTTCCTAATTCAATGGAACATTGAAGATTAATAAACAATAATTGATTAATTATTCGTAAAATGTCAGTCTTCTTTGCATAATTATTGCAGTGTTGTTACATGCAAGCACTGGCAAAAAATATATTAATCGAATTAATGAAGAAGAAATTTTGCATTGAAATCATAAAACAATTAAGAAATTTAGGAGAAAATTTTCCTCTAAGACCAGCCATACATGAGATAAATTGTAATAATTAAATATTAAGAAAGTGATGAAGGATTTAATTATATAATTACTGTCGGGGTTTACCTTTCTTCACAATTAATTCCTCCCCCTCAACAATAAAAACGTGCAACCGTCCTTTGGGTCTTCTGCGAACTAAATCATGCGGGATTGTTAGTGGTGCACTACGTGCAAACTCAGGGATTCATTAGTGCTTTTTTTCCTGGGTGAAATTAAAGAGAAACATGGAGTTGAAGCATAAGCAGAAGCAACAGTGCATTTTTTCTCGGGGTGGGGCTTACCAGCAGGTGTTTTGATGCTGCTGCCCTGCAACACTGTCGCCAAGATCCTCCCACAAGCTCCAAATTGCGCTTGTCCTGTACCGCACATTGCAACGAAGAAATTTCAAATTCATGGGGATGAGAAAGGAGTCGACAAATGACAGATAATTTTTAAAAACATGAATTTTCAAAGCCCATTGAGAAGAACTGTCAAGAGATATTTTTTGAACGAAATTGAATTCTCGATACAAAAAATTCTCTTGACATTTTCCAAGGAATGAAATTAACGTCATTCCTCTCAGGAATGAGGCCATTGACGACAAGTATGAAAATACATTTTTTGTCGAAAATTTTTCAAGAGACATTGGAAAAATGAAATGTGGGTAATTTTCTTTTGACAATTCACATCAGAATTCATGAGACAAAAGGTCCCCAGAGACATCAGGAGGGGCTTACTTGAGCGCTGACGTTGCAGAAGATTCTTCTCGTTCCTGGCGAACTGCTTACGAGCCTCGTTGATCTTCTTCACCCATAAGTGGCACTCGTTGGTGGACGGGGCTAGCAGGAGAATAGGCTTCTTAGTGGAATCTCGTAGGCCCAGGGTTCTCGATGTGTTGTCATTTGCGTCCGTATGGATTATATTTGAGTTTCCATTGGTTTCAGTCTCTCCAATCATCGTTAATTCATTCAAAAATATTGTCTGCAAATCAAGACAATTATTTTAAAAAATCGAACATAAAAAATCAAGAGAGGAATTTGAATTTCCAGCAAGTGATGATTTACCTTTCTGTAAAGTTTGAATTTATTATTCTCGTTTCGTTCGAATGAAAATTGTTGTCCAGCTGGTAGTGCCTTCAATGGTTGAGCAAATAGGAGAAAATCGTTGGTGAGGAATGCAACAAGTTCCTTACCACTTTTTGCCTGCACAAAAAAAAACCCTCAAAATCGCTGTCCTGAGATTTTCGGTTAATCCACTAGAAATCATTTTGCAAATGTTCATCAATACCTTATGAAGAATCCCGTAATGCAGAAGTTTCCTGGGTCCCGCGGAGTTTGTCAAAGAATTAAATATGAGTTTCTCCTCAAGAACACTTTCGCTGCAGGCGACATGCGTCTGGAGCCACTCGAGTCTATCGCTGTTCTCCTTCTCCCGCACTCCCTCATTCACCTGAATGCAGAATTCCTCAGCCTTGGCCAAAGCCTCCGCGAGATACTGCCTGTCCGGATGTTCGAATGGCGTGTACTCGAGGATCTTGTTGATGATCAAGGGGTACTTGGTGATCCTCTGCATCGGTTTTATGAGAAAAGAACTCAGGGGCATTCCCTTGGTCCTCGGATCCTGCTGGCATGCCTGAGCAATTGCCACGAATTCAGGAGACGTTTCCGTCAGTCTCTGAAGATAAACAGCCGCCGATATCTGACAGCTGCAGAACCGAACGTACGCAGACATCCTCGGAATATTTTCACAGAGAATGTCACCGATCATTCGGACAGTTCCGTCTTCACTGTTGTCTCGTCTGATTCTCAATGTTCTCAGGAAATTGTCATTGCAAGCGATTATGTCCCTCCAGTTGACGAATATCCTTTCTACTTCGTCCACTGTCAGGACCATACTCTGGATCAAGGGTTTTTCAAACACCTCGTGGACCAGTCTCATGTCGTTTATGTACGCCTCCTCAGTTGCAATCAACTCCCTGATGTAATCCTGACGTTTTAGCTCGAGGGGATCCGCCGAGGAGATTACGAAATCGTATGGCTCGTCAGCTGCACATAAAAATGACACATCTTTTACCGATTCTTCGTGTTCTAGGGGTCCATCCGTCACTTACCGAAGATAATTTGACGATCGCGTTCAATGGCGGGGGGTTTACCAATTTTCATGACCTATTGTTTGATTTGTTTTTCGGTCTTTTATATGATCTGCTGTTTTTTTGGGATCTAGTGTTTTTTTGGGGAGCTGAACACCGAGGAAGAGCATTTGTCAGGAGGTGGTTTGTTATTGTTTTTAGTGGGGGATTTTTTCATTGGTTGAAGGTTGTGGGTTTAAATCCCCTCGGGGATGTTTCCCCTGATTTCATTATTTGTTATTTCAATAATGCATTGAAATGATAAAACTTTTGTTGTTTTCCATTGGGTTTCTTTTTTGTGTGAATTGGATGTGATGGTAACCCAAGGTAGCTACAATGGTTAGAGTAGCGAGTTGGTAATCTGAAGGTTGTGGGTTCGAATCCCCTCGTGGGCATTACCCTTGGTTTCATTACTGATTCTTTCAATAAAATATTGAAACAATAAAATTTTTCACTAAATTGAATTTTTTTGGAGGTTCAATGGGAGTTCTTCAGAATAAAATGAAAATAAAACCCAATCAATTTGTTTAATTATTTAATTTCTTTTTAGTTTGAGCTCATTTTAACATACTTTTCATGCTGTTTAAAATGATCTCAGACTCGTTGAAATCTCATCATTATCGTGAATTTCATACACTACATGAACCCCACAATTCATAACTGAAATGAGAATTAAAAAAATGGATAAAGTCATATATTTTCCAACAGACAGACACTTTATTTCGATTTCTTTTTGGTCATGTGTGCGAAGGTAACGTGTATCATGTTTTCCATATTTTGAAAATGATATTTGTGATTAGGTAATAGTGTTCCATCTCCGCGTGTACAATGTTCATATAATGTGTAAGGATACACACCGGAGGGAGTAAATGTGAACAAAGCGGTGTGACATTAAAATTCAATTGAAATGAAACGAAAATTCTCTCCAATGATAAATCGAACATCAATAATCAATTTCATTAGTTTGTTCACACTTTAACAATTCTCTCCATGATTTATCAATGATTTGTTTACATGTTCTTTTTTTTTTTCATACATGTGACGCAGTTAATAAGTGCCCAATGGGTTTTTATAATCTCATTAATTAATTACTTGGAGTCAAAACGAACAATAATTATTTCTCTTACAAGACAAAACGAACAATAAGTATTTTCTTTTTCGTCCTCTTTCTTTCACTTGTAACATCGTTCAGGAAAGGAAACAGAGGGACACGCGAGGGTAATTGTCTCTCTGTTTTATTGATATTTCATCCGCACTCTCTCTACTACGGGCTTTCAATAATAAATAGGCTTACAGCACGTATCACGTAAGTTTTTAAAAAACATCCCCACGATACGGCTGTATTTTTCTCTACATATTCAACTAACGCGCTTATATTATTCTTGTACGACACAATGTCCGGATATACTGATATATCTTATTCGAAATTAATTATTTTTTATCAAATTATTCAGACAAACTTGACGCAATTAATTTCTGAATTGAAAGTGTGAAACGTTTTGTAGTTTGAGTGGATTTATCAGGTAAAAAGTGACATTTCAAGAATATATTGAGAGATATTTTCTCCTAAACTCACTATTCACCAAGATAATTACACAATAAACAAGCATTCCTACTCAACTCATCACGTTTCACCCCTTCAATCGACTTTTCTATCTAAAACAAAAAATTCTCTCTCATTAATCATGATTAATCACTCAATAATTAATTGAAAACTCAAAACAAGATGTTCAAAAATCAATGATTGAATGTCACTTCGACAAAAAATAACTAAAAAAGGCACGAAAATAAAGTAAAAATCTTTTTAAAAAAATAATAATTGTGCGCTACAATGAAGGAAACACAAGACATTTAATGACCTTAATTAAATCATCATGATTGATTAATAAATGCGCACACGAGGGGAAACTCAAAGTGCTCACACACCCAACCGGTCACGTATTTATCATCATATTAATAATAACAAATAAATTCTGTTTAATTTTATAATGTAAGTAACAGCGAGTCAACAATATATGGGCCATTGGGTTGCTAATTACTTAGGCCCCGTTAACCGAAATAATTGGGAAGCCCTGAGACAAATAATAATAGTACTTGAGGGCAGGTAAAGGAATTAAAAATTTCATAAGATAATTCATTGGTAAATTATATAAGTTAGAGACAAGATTCGATTGACAGACTCAAATGTTTCATCTGAGATTCGTACGAGACTCAAAATCATAAATGTTTGTGATAATGACAAATAGATACACATGTGAAAGAAATAATTATTACTTAATTGATGGTAATTCATTAGGGGAGTGGGAAAACGTAATAGAATGAGTGAAATTTTTCGTGTTTTGTTGAATTTGAAATTATCTTGGAAATAAATGGGTTTAGGGGAAAAAAGTCTTTTGACATTTTCTCCTGAATGCACTCATTACCGAGATAATCACAAAATTAACAAAAGTAAAATTTGCCGTATCACGATTCACCGCTTCCCTAAAGAATTGATGTTAATAACGAACTAATGAGGATTCTTCTAATTAATTTATGGCATATACTCTCCCCCAAATCCCTCGAAATCCACTCACACACGTGAGATTGGCCATTGGATACTTTATAATCGAATATAATTTATTTATATTAATTTCTTTAAATTTTCTTTTTTTTATCGTTGTCGCTTTTTTGTTCTTCCCCTCGACAAAACGAAGGATAATAATAAATAATTGTTGACTTATTTGTTTTTTTTTCACAATAAAAGGGTAAACCTCGCGTTTATGGCGCCTCCACTGCGTATCCTTAGGCTGCGTGTCAAGCAAGATGCGAAAGAACATCAATTAGTGGAAATAAATTACTCGGACAAATTAAGAAAATAATTAAGGGAAACGGTAATTAACCAACAATTAACTCAATATAACAGAATAGTACCAAATGAACACAGATTAATGACCAATTTATGTACCAGAATGAGTATTTTTATCATTGAGGTAAAAATCGCTGTCGTGAAATGATTGATTTGTTAAGTTGACATTCGTTGATTGGAAATATCTCAGGAATGAGTAAGTTTAAAGAAAAGAGTCATAAGACATTTTTGCAGGAAATTGAATTCCCTACAAAAAAATTCTTGTGTGATTTTCTTGTAAATCCACTCGTTACCAAGATAATTCAATCCTTAACAAAAATAAAAATCAACATTTTCCACTCTGGTAATTAAAATTTAACCACTTCACTGCTGATTGTATTCATGACTTGATAAGAACAAAAATACGTGTTATCTACCCCGGAAGAATGGACGGACAAGCAGGCAGAAGGATGCACACAAGCGCACAGTGAAGCGTTACTTAAATATTTTCGAAATGAAAATGCAACAACTCTTCCTCGGTTTCGTCGTAATTTCAAATCTTTCTCCTGAGGCTATTTATCAAATTATCTACGCTCCGCGTGTCACGACGACGCTCGTCCGTCCACCCATCACGACAGATCACATAATTACTGCTCATATATATATATTTTTTTCATTCAATTTGTTTTTTCTACTCACACATGGGTGTCACGTAGTTGCTTGGGAATATTCCAATTATTCCGTTGAGTTCACCCTTCCACCAGGCCTCTTCCTGCTTCGCCAGGACTGTTATCACCTCGCCCTTTTCGAAACTCAATTCGTCGTCGTTCTGGGCTTGGTGGGGGTACAGGGCCATCACTCGTTCTAGATTTTTCATTAATTGGAATTATTATTTTGTGAGTGAAAGCGAAGAAGTAACGATGAAGAGTTTTTCAATTTCGAAAAATATTAATTGCTAATATTTTCATTGTCTACGTCATTCATTCTTCCTCGATGAGACAATTGCAAAATTAATTGTTCGAAAAAAATGTCATGTCTTTCGAAAAATTGAGTTGTGAAGAAGAAATATAAAAAATAATTTATTACAAAATTGGATTTTCAAAAAATCTACTCACCAACATTGGGATCTGTTGGAGAATCCTGATACCCATGAGATACGGGTGTCGATCTGTTACTGCTACTCGTTAAAGGTTTGACGTATGACGCTGGGAACCAACCGATCTGTCGTTTTTTACCTCTCGCCTGTAGATAAATTCAAGGAAAATACTTGAGTGTTTAAGAATATTTTATTACAAAATATTCTAGTCATTTCTCTGAAATTCTTCTCAACGTAATGATTTTATTCTAAATTTGACAAGAAACAAAATTAAATAATATCTCTCATTCACTCATGAAAGAAAAATTAAAAAATATATATTCCTCAGACGAATTGGATTTCAACTGCCGCTAATTACCCTTGAATTAAAAAAAAAATTGACACTTTGAAAAATCCTTGAACGTCATTTATGCAATAAATTTTACCTGTAATTCCCCTTCCCACCATCCAGAGTCCGTCTTCTTCCTGATCATGATGAGCTGACCCCTCTGAAGATCCAACTGTTCAGCACTTGTTGCCTGATAGGGTGCCAGGACTTGCACGATCTCTGGTTTCCTCCCTCGACCCTGGATAAAACAATTCCCTAATTAAAATTAATCCCCAAAAAAGGTCTCATCAAACTCTCGTGCCAAAGGATCACAAAACAAACAAAAAACTAGTGTCTAAAATCTACGAGAAGTCGCACTCTGCTGAAAGCTTGAATGTATTCCCTCGAGCAATAGTACCTTATAATACTGGAATGGCGATCCATCGAGCAGCATCCAAGGATGACAGGAATAAAATATTCCAGGAGAATCTTACCATTAATACACGTCAATGATTCATCAAGAGAGGGTTAATTACCTGTTGTGAAGCCATAGCTGTAAAATCAGGCAATTCAGCTCTGTCCTCAGCAGCTTGACGCTCATCCTCGAGCTGCTCAGCTGTTTTTTCTGTCGTCTAAAGTCAGAAATGTCGGAAAAAGAATAACTCTAGCCCAATTACTTTGTTACACTGGAGCAATTGCGTTAGCTCGTTAGGGGGTTAATTACATTTAATATAATACCACTCACAATGAAATTACAGTTATTGATTGCATGAGAATTTTAATTATAATGAGGATTTTTACTCACCGGAGAGGCTTGCACTGGTGCTGGGGTGGTGGCTGCTTGAACAGGAGTTGCATTAATTGCTGCAACCTGTGCAATATTTCAAAGCAAGAATTAAATATTAATTAACTAAACTTTTCCTGTTTTCATTTTTCACTTGTATTCGTTTCAAAACTTTAAACCCTTATGCACCTTGAAAATGTTTGCGTTGTCTCAATTTACAAAATTATTATATAGAGAGAAAAACCATTTACATCTAAATTTCGATGCATTAAAAAGATTAAAAACTCAAATTAACGCAAAAATAATTAATTCAATAAAAGATTAAAATTTTAAAAATTAAAAAAATCCAAATGCACCTGTAATTCCAAAAAATCCTCTCACCTGATTAATATTCGGCTCGCACTTTTCGACATAATTAGACGGAAAGTATCCACTCCTGTTTCCAATGATGCCAGACCACCACTCGCCCTCGCTCTTCGTAACCTCGATGATCTCCCCCTCATTGAAACTCAAATCATCAGGCTCCGTCGATGAATACTGATACAACGCGACGTAATAATTTCCCTCCCTACCGACCGTAACCTCCGCCTGGACATGAGTATCCCCAAGTGATCCAGCCTCCGAGACATTCTCAGGCACCTCAGCAATCTCCTCCAGAGGCTTCCTCTCCACCGAGTCCTGCTGGACAAATTTGCTCCCCTCCTCCCCGGCATCAACAGGTTCAACATACGACTCAGGGAACCATCCAGTGTGTCCCCTGATCTCCCCAGCCATCCACCCAGGCTCCTTATTCTGCACAGGAGGCACCAGAATTATGTCACCAGGCTGGAACGATATCTCCTCATCATTCCTTGCAACAAATTCATAGAGTGCTCGATACTTGACAATTCCCGGCTCAACAACATCAGTTTCATTATTGTCAACAGGCCAGGATTCATTGACAGCTGTGACAGGATCATTTCCCCAAGCACTCTCCCCCCACGCAGCACTGGCATAATCAACTCCCCCAGATGTAACAGCCCCCCTGAGCTCCAAAATCTGCGATCTCTTGACATCAAAATTTTTGTAAAGCCCCTTGCAATCACTGGCCAGTGACTTCATCTTGTCCTTCATCTCCTCCAGTTGACTGTTATTATTCTCAATGTCCATACTCTTCTCGGATATCTGCTTCTCCAGATCCTCGATCTTATCCTTCATCTGTTTGAGGGTGATCTGCTTATTGGCAAATGCCATTCTCATTGCCTCCTGTCCAGCCGAGTCCTGTGCTGCATTCATTTTATTTTTCGCCTCGATCCTAGCTTTTTCCTGGCTCAGTGAGAGTAATCTCTGATTTTGCTCTCTGAGTTTGTTCTTCAGAGCTGTCATCTCCTGCTGTTGAGAGTCCCTGGTGGCTCTCATTCCATCAATCGTTGTTTTAACACCTGAAACACCAACTCTTGTGTCGCAAATTTTCTGGGAGAGCTCCTTGACTTTGTCGTTAAGTGTGCCTAGCTCGATTGTCAACGTTTGGTTCTTCGCTTTTAGTTTCAGGAGAATGTCCTGCTCCTTCTGACGCTGGGCCTGGAGCTCTTGGGACTTCTGGGTCTCCCACTCCAGCAGACGTTGTCTCTCCATCTCCTTTTTAGCCGCCTCTTTCTGGTCCTGGGCACGTCTCCTCTGCTCCTCCTTCTCCTGCTCTATTTCACGTTGACGAAGCATCTGCTTCTCAATCTCCGCCTGACGACGACGCTCCTGCTCCAGTCGAATCTTCTCCTGTTTCTCGGCTTCCTCACGTTCCTTGCGGTCGCGCTCCTCTTGCTCTTTGCGCTGCTGCTCCAGGAGGGATTTACGCCTGCGATCGAGCTCCGCCTGGCCCTTCTCGTAGTTCTCTTTGCGCTTGTCCTCGAAGGAGGACTGGGGCATCCCTGCGGAGGGATCGATCGTCTCGGGTAGACCCCCCGAGGAGATGCTGCTCTGACGCTGACGGCGGAACGTCGGGGGGACTAGGTCTGGGGTCAGTGTATCTGGAATGGTCTCTCCAGCCTTCGCAAGATCACACAGATGCATAGCGAGGACAAACTCCTCGCACCCAAGTCTCCCATCGGAGTCCATATCAGAGAGCCCCCAAATTTTCGCGAGAATGGGCTGTGGCAGTTGTGTCTGGACCATGATGTTCCTGGCTTGAGGTCCAGAGAGAAATCCAGTTCTCGTTCTGTCGCAGGTGTTGAAGGTCTGAGTGTACCTCAGCTTTGTCTGATGAGGAACTGACCACTCGACTGTCGGTGGTGAGGTCAGGGACTGCTGACTGTGTTGACTGTGTTGACTGTGCTGGCTGTGCTGAGAGTCAATGGATCCAACTCTGTCGATACTGGGGGGTCTTGCTGTCGTGCTGAGAGGAGTATTAGTGGACACTGGAGTCCCCATGACAGCTGCCATAGCTGCTGGTGCCACTGGGGGCTGATGGAGAGCTGCAACTCCATTTGAAGGGACTGATGGCATTATTCCAGGGACCAGAGGCACCACAGGAACACTGGGAATCGTTGGAATCATCTGAGGGCCCATTCCAAAAGCCTGAATTGGCGCTGGAGTTGTGTTTAGCGGAGCTATTGGCGCCCCTCCAGGCATTGGAACCATTGGAATCTGCTGCATCCCTGGGAGAATCTGGGGCTGCGCCATTGGGGCAACACTGGGGAGCACCTGGGGCTGCGACATCGGGACAACACTGGGGAGCACCTGGGGCTGCGACATCGGGACAACACTGGGGAGAACCTGGGGCTGCACTGCTCCCACTGGACTATTTGGAAATGATGGGGGTGCTGGCTTTGGTGGAGGCAGAATGCCTGTGGTTGCGTTGAAACCTGCACCTGGGGGTTTCAGAGGATTATTCAGGATTGATGGGGCGGAAAT